TAGACCAACAGGTACAGAACCTGTACATGTACATGAGCTTACAGGTACATTACCTGTACTAGAACTTACAGGCACAGAACCTGTACACAAACTTAGAGGTAAATGAGTCCTCGCGCAAACGTTGTGACCTGGTGTTGTAATTGTGGGGAATGGAGTAAACATATGGGCGCTCTGGTTTTGTTGACAATAAACAGGACCTTGAAAACTCACAGTACAAGGAACTGCATAAGAGTTTACAGGTAAGGTAGTGTGGTAATTTGAACCTGTACATGAACTCAAAGTGCTGTGTTTATGAGAGTTCACAGGTAACCCATATACTGGACTTGCTGTCTGCGTAATGGAGGGGCTCATGTGAGTACCTGTACTGGGGACTGCAGGTACATACATACTAGGGACAGCTGTCGGCTCTCTAGGAAAACCTGTACACAAATTCTCAGCAAAATGTGAGCAAACAGGTACAAAAGGCATCTGAGTTGTGGGACCACAGGTGTGAAGATGGCTCATTTTAGGCGTAACTACACTGTTTGTTGTCTGTGGCTGCTCTGTAGTGGTACTCACAGTTACAGAAACTGTATCTGAGTTCCCAATAAAAGGTGTAGGTTCTCCATCTCTCACAACGTCTGCCTGAGAACTCACAAGCATTAAACTTGTATCTGAGTTACGTAAAAATTGAGAGGCTTCTTTATTTGAATGAACAAGTGGTTTAGTTCTGTGCATGTCAGCTCCTTCACACGGAAATTCACATTCGCTTTCATTTTCTCTTACAGTATCTACAGAGGAACACGAAACTCGTGAGGTAGGTCTGGATTCTTGAAGACCACGACGTTTCCGTCGACTTCTACGTCCTGCCATTGTGATTTATTTTTATTTGATTTGCTTAATAAAATTTTTGTTTCTCAAACACAGACAAAGCGTTGTTATGATTCGATCACAGGACCCGTAAATTTAAACGGATCATTCGATCACAGGACCCGTAAACTTAAACGGATCCCGCCGTGGATGCCAAAATTGTAACGCTTCGGAACGCCTGCCTTGTGTTGAGAACAAAAACTTCGGTGTAAAGTTTTATAATTTTATTCAGTAATACATGAACAGCGAAAACAAATAACAATGTTTGAAATTCACACAAGTCTCAACCCTCGGGACATAAATCTAAGACCAAAATCAGTACAACTACTGATATAGAACTGGGCAACTGGCACTATTTCCAGTAATTTATGATTTAAGTAAATTCCCCCCGACCAAAATAAAACGTAAAGGTTAATTTACAAATAAATATTCCCGCTACTAGTTCAACTACTAGCACGCAGCAGAAATATTTCCTAACTCCTAAACTGGGCTAAAGAAGATAAAAATAACTAGTTCACAACTAGTAATTATAAATAAAACTAGTACAATTACTAGTAATAATTAATTTAGCCTAACCTAACATTATGTATTATGTACTTCAGTCACAAAGATACTGCACTAGTACACACCTTAAATTACTCTGGACAAAACTGGCAACCTTTCCCTAGGTCACAAAGAAAACAAGAGAGCAAACGATATTCAGCATCTGGGTATTTATAGAATTAACAAAACCCGCAATAATTCATAACCAATCAAAATTAATAATCTCATCCCGTAAATAATAATCAGCCAATCAAATATAATTATCGTCCCGTAATGAAATCTCACTCTCGTACATTGCATGTAAAATTATTACAATACGTAAATTAATTAAATAAATTCATAAAACATAAAGTTACACTTTTAAAAGCTCATTTAACACTGTTTAACATTTAATTTAAAAGAATTTACAATCAAATCTTCCGCCGAAATAACTCCAGTAAAAATAGATCACCGTGAAGCATCACGGCGGCAGAAGTTTCAGTGAAACGTGTGTACTCGAAGACCATAAAACATCGATCACACAAGAAATAAGGTAACTTTAAGATAATCCTGAATTACAGCACAACTTTATAATTACGTATGTACAATTAAGCCAACAAAAAGCGTGTAATTAAATAGCAAGACGATGTCTGACATTCAACAAATCAAAACACAAGAAAAATGACATAGATCTTCGCTGCATATAAACAGTTGTCAACCAACAATTAAGAAATAACTCTCGCTGGACATTTCAACATTCCATGCAAGAATTGATGAATGAATTTAAAATATACATGAAAGTGCTTTAGAAAAATACCAAGATAAAAAAATGAGATTCAAGAAAAATGGGGGAGGGATCGTTACACTATTTTTAAAAATCCCAAGAAATAAATACATTTACATGTAATGAAAGGTGGGACTTATATAAGTTAAATACCAATTGAATGGAATTAAAAAAAAACAATTCCCCTTCTGTTTCAATATATTAATTTTGTTTAAAAGAAACAAAATAATATTTCCACCTTATGAAAAGGAAAATTAATATACATGTTTGAATATTTTATGTAATAAAATGACTATTTTGTAAAAGTCTGACAGAAATCTGAGTTAGTGTAACTTTTCTATTGGCCTATAATTTTAGGAAGTTTAGGACAATGCCCAATAACTTTTCTGGTAAATATGCCAGATGTCCTATAGTTACTTATTTCAATCTGAAACCCTGAAAGCTGATTTAAATAATTTGGTACAATTGTTGTCTAGTCAGGAGGCTACTTTAAACTAGTTATAATGTTGCAATTTCTAAGATTAAATGAAACTATTCTTTTTATTGTTGAAAATAATACAAATCATGAGCTTTTCTTCCATTACCTACCCGACCCGAGAAACCCGAAACCGAACCTCAAAAAATCAGAACCGACCCGACCCGAAAAATTTTGGAACCGTGACAGCCCTAGTGACGTCACACAAGAACTCATCAGGTTTTACAGAAACAACAGAGCATCTAGTTGAAACTATAGACCTAGTGCAATTTTTGTCGAAAGACATTGCAGAGTTATTTTTTGTTTCTTTGAAAGATTTCACAAACTGAAAGCCTTTTATGCTTTATGTTATTATTTATTTATTTATTCGCGCAAAGGGCATTGGGTAGCAAAGGAATATGGGAAGGTTTCATAGAGAAATTTGCTTGACGTATGTACAGATTTCATTGCAAATTTCCTCTGTTCTTACACATTAGTCTATTGGGGTCGCCGCACTGGCTATTATTTGATTTAATGCCTTCCATGCACAGGCACTTGGTTCACATCTGTTTCATACCATAATCTAGTTTACTAGGCTACCTAGATAGAATGTTCTATCGTTAAACTTATAAATGTCCTACGGACCCGGTTTAACGATAGAATTCGTTCCGTGTATTCACAACGTAGCAAAATAAACACGGGCGATAACTCGTACTCAGTGCATTTACTATGAACAATCAAGAGAGTTCTGAACGCAAACATGGCGTGTAAATTTGAAGCGAGAAAAAACGTGGAGAAAATAAGTTGAATTTTCGTCTTTATTTGGATTATATTTCAGGTTTAACTACTTACGCAACCCCCAAAAGGTTTGTTATAATTAATTTGGAAGTTATTTTCAGTGCAAATCCCTTTGTATTCTTCAAAATCGTTTCGGAGCGATTCTGCGAATTTTTGCTACATTGTGAGTATATGGGAGGTATTCTAACTGTGGTGAGGGCTTGTCTGAAACACAGTTAGATTATTCTAACTAGGGAGCACAGGTAACTGTGGAAAATATTGTTTGGATCACTGTGCAAAGTCTGAATTTTCTCTTCACCCAGGCATTGTTTTGAGACTAAGAGCTTGCGATTGTTTCATGTGTAGATAGTTTTCAGTGGACTTAAATAATCAAGAGTTATTTCCCCTTGGCCGCCATCTCATTGGTCAACCTGGTAATTTTCCCTCTTTGTCTTACCAAATACAAGAGGGTGAAGCAGAAATATTTGGGGGGAAATCTTTATGGAATAAACATTATGAAATAAAGGGGGCTCTAACAAATGTATATTTGTCAGAAAAACAATGCTTCACAGCATAACAGTTAGATTATTCTAACTATAGGCTACCTTACAATAACCATAGGTGTCGGAACCGGAGGGGCTAAGTGGGGGCTTAGCCCCCCCACTTTTTTTCCAAATATATACTTCGCCCCCCCCCCCCCCCCCCACTCTCCACAGATACGTCCTAGTATAGGTTTAAAATAGGGAAAGTGGTGGTGTTTGGAAAAAAAATTTTGGTACTGAAGTTTGAACCTACCCCCCCCCCCCCCCCCCCCCCAACAAACAAAATAGGATTTTTCGCGTTTGGCAATACAATTTTTAAAATTTTCCGGGTTTTTACATTCCGGGTATTTTTTTTTTTTTTTTTTTTTTTTTTTTTGCTTATCAGGTTCTTTTGAAGGTACAAAAATTTTTTTTTTTACACTTAGCCCCCCAACTTTCAATTTGCTTCCGACGCCAATGATAACTTAATAGTAAACTAGCAAACCAAATGAAACAAATTGGAGAATTCTGAATTTTGGCATTTTGTGAAAATTTGAAGTTGAAATTTGAAATGGAAATTAAAAATTGTTAAGAAAAATTGTTGACTTTTTTAATTGAATGGATTAATTTAGGTTGAAATATTACCACAATCTCAAAAAATATTATTATGATAAATTTACAGATATTTTCACATCATCTTCATTTATTGTATCCAAATTCATTTCAGAGCAATTCTGCAGTTTTCTGCTACTTTGCGGGCACAGGCATTCAACTGTGATTAGGGCCTATCATGAGACAAGATTATTAATTTTATCTAAGGATTTTTCATGCAATATTTATATTATATGAAATGTAAACAATTAATGCATAGTATAATTGTCACTGGGTTCACAGGTGCCAGAAAGTCGGTCAGTATATTGGGTCTCAGTATCTCAGTGGTTAGAGCACTAGCTGGTTGGTAAACCAGGGGCCCTGGGTTTGAGTCCCGGTTGAGACTTGTTTTTCATCACCTATGACATGATAATATTGCGGGAACCATATGCCTCATCTTGATGACACATATAATACATGTACTCTGTACAATTATTTGTAGCCAACTGGTGGTTCTACATTTCTCAGCCGCATGGGCCCCACAGTGTAAACAAATGAATGAGGTCATGGAGGAACTATCTAAGGATGTACAGTACAGCAATGTTCAATTTGTACAGGTAAAAAAAGAAATGGAGACCGAAGACTACTAAGTGTGGTACAGCAAAACTCGTTTAGTACGAACACGGATATTGCGAAATCACGGATATAGCGAAGTCATCTTTAATCCCCAGCTATATAATTTTAATGAATTTCTCATACGGTTATAGCGAATTACGGATAAAGCGAAGTAATTTCATAGGTCCCAGCGACTTTGTTATAACCGAGTTTTGCTGTAATAATGTCTGCTTGGTAGGATTCATATCAGAGTACATGAATATTTTATCATATTAAAGGTTATTCTTATTGAATCTTTCAGTTGAAAAAAATAGAAAAGAATTTTATTTCAGCATAGGGGAAGGAAAAAATTTAAATTATGGAATTTTAATTAATGACTTTTTTTTTTCATTTTTAGTTAGAAGCTGAAGACCTGCCAGATGTCTCAGAAAAATATGAAATAACTGCAGTACCTACATTTATATTCATCAAGGTGAGAGTTGTCAACAGTTTGATTCCTTGACACATCTACAGTATGTAGTCAATAGCAATGACTTTGGAAAGAAAATGACAGATATTCTATTTTTCTAATGATTTTTGTAGGTTTTGATATCAGTGGCAATTTTTATGACATCTGTATTGTACTCCTGTGTTTTGATTTTACTTATTAGTATTTTCAAAGCCAGACAAAGTCATCTTTTAAACCATTGGAAATTGATTCTATTTTAAAACAATGTATGTGTACAAAGATTGGCATTTTCAAAATTTTGGGAAATGACCGGGTTTGGAGTTATTGGTAAATTTATGAATTAGTGTTACACACATTCGCACCATACATTGTATGTATTAAGGATTTTTTTGCAGTAGTCATGAATTAGCTCATCTTAAAATTTAGAAAAACTCTACTTTTTAAAGTACACATACAATTTATTTCCATATTTCAGTGTAGAGAGCACAGGCATATTAAACTTTTCTTATACAACATGAATAAATTCTGCTGATCTAGATATGGTATGTGTGTTTTGCAGAACAAGGCCCAGATTGACAGAATTGATGGTGCTAAAGCCGCAGATCTTACAAAGAAAGTCAAGCTTCTCAGTTCTGGTCAAACAGGTGTGCCATTACCTGTAGATGACAAAAAACCCAGACAGGTAAGGATGATTAAAATAGCATGAGAAGGGAAAAAAATTCAAAATCCTGCACTGTTTTATTTTTAAACAATTATGTATAACAGTTAATTATGATTAATGCAATTTAAAGGTATTGAGTGCAATGATTTTATACAGGAATTTAAAACAATTTAACGGTAAATCAAAATTATTACGTTAGCTTTCCATGTTTCCCTTTACAATGAAGTACTTAATTCTATGCAAGAGAAAGGTGCTACACGTAACATTTAAAATTAAAAGTTCAAGTTTATTCTCATTATATAATAGATATTTTTAATAATTCTTCTGTTTTATTTCCCAGGACTTAAACACCAGATTAAAAAATTTGATCAGTTCTGCTCCAGTCATGCTTTTTATGAAGGGAGACCCAGACACTCCAAGATGTGGTCAGTATTCTTCAGATTTTATACCTAGTGTAGTATTGTTCTATAGTTTGCTATTCCCCCTCCAAAAATGACAATTAAAAAACAATATCTAAGTTGATAACCTTAGCTACTAGGTAATGATGGACATAGGTCTATCACAACTTTCCTTGAGATATTCTACTCTAGCAATATTTTTTAAAAGCATCTATGTAATGTGTGTTTTCTCACTGAAGGGTTCAGTCGACAAATAACACAGCTTCTAAAAGAGAAGGGAATCAAATTCAGCTCCTTTGACATTCTACAAGATGAGGAGGTCAGACAAGGTACAGACTTCTACTTTATAATACTGAATATCTACATGTAGCTCTCGATCAGGGAGTCTCATTTCTTAAATTTTTCTATGTATTTTAAACTTCAATCAATCCTTTTTTTCTCAAACTCAGTAAGAATAAAAAAGTTTTAAAACACCATAGGTTCAAGATATCAAGGGTAAGTGATTGGGACTTCCAAATCACTTTGACATAAACATGGTATCTGAGATTATAGGTGTTCAAGATACTGAAGTTTATCTGTATAATCAATAGGTAGATGTATTATTTATTTTGTCGGTGTCAAGTTTTTTTCATAAAGGGGTATTTGTTCTGTTGTGACAACTTTTAGGTTTAAAGACATATTCTAACTGGCCAACATACCCACAGCTCTATGCAAACGGTGAACTAGTCGGCGGTGTGGACATTGTGAAAGAACTGATAGAATCCGGAGAACTCGAGTCGCAGCTTCCTAAACAGACCAGTCTAGAAGACAGGTGACAATAATGATATAGCATTATATTGGTTTAAAAAAAAAACATTTTTCCTGGAAAACAAGATTTTATGTTTGCTATTCTCTTTCTGTTTAGATTGAAGTCACTCATCACTAAATCTGATGTGATGTTATTTATGAAGGGAGATCCCGATACCCCCCGCTGTGGCTTCAGTAAACAGATGACCAGTGTGTTAGCTGACACCGGGTAAGAACCAAGACAGTTTGAAAAAGATTATTGGATGAAATTATCAAGCTCTCTTTGAAAAAAAATGCATCAAAATAAAATAAAGCATTTATTTTGCTAAATTGATTATATTCACACGCATTCTATAAAATATTCATGATGATTTTCAGTGTGAAGTATGACACATTCGATATTCTGAGTGATGATGAAGTTAGACAAGGATTAAAGACTTACTCAAATTGGCCAACCTACCCACAGCTTTATGTTAAAGGAGAGCTGATTGGTGGATTAGATATCATCAAGGTGACCATCAGTTACATATATTTTAAAATGTTTAATATAAGAATACATTTTGAGTGTTTTATATCTTTCAATGATTGGACAATATTTTTAGCTGACTCCTACATTACCCATTACCCAGCATTATCCTTACTGTCTTTTTTTTAATCCCAATTCAATTTTTTCTTTTTAAACAAGGAACTAAAAGAATCAGGAGAACTGGAATCGGTGCTCAAAGGAGAGTAGACGATACACATCAGCTGATGGGAGTGATCTGCAAAGGGAGATAAATGTGATTGATGCATGTGTGTTCATAAGAACCTTTTCAACAAATGAAGATGATTTCTGCATTCATGTTCTATTGTGAATGTAGAATTTTCAAAAAATATATTGAGGCAATGACATAAAATGTACTTTTTAAGATTGATTGTTAATGACTTTATTTCAACAATGTTCAGTTCACAATCAAGAAAACAACAACAAAAAACAATACTACAGTGTATGTGTATATGATGTAAATTCAGAACATTTTATACCGACCGTATTCATAAGGCTTGGTTAAATTTTTGTCACTTGACATTTGAAAAATGCCACAGCTCAAAAACAGCAATGTTTAAGTGCTTGTACAATGTATTTTGAAGTGAAATATGCTTATAAATTTTAGCCAAAAATTAATTCCATACCAAATTATCTATTCATATAGATTAAAAACATAAATAACATTTGGAAAACAAAACTTAAATTTACTGTAGGCTTACTTTTTTTCCATATGGGATCATAATTTATGCTATGTACATAGTCACAAATTTTTCATTAAAATTCGTCATACCTAGCTCAAAGTATATCTAGACATGCAGAGAAGCGCAGTCTAGGGAGCCTGTGTAATTTTTTACCAAAAGGCAGCTGTTTAAAGTGTGTATGTCAGATGCATACTTTCAGGTTGAATGAATATTATAACCTTTTTGCTTCAAAATCTTTGTGTATAAAGTCATCTCTTGTACAGAAAGGCTGAAATTTAGGATTGGTGTACGTAAACTATTACCCTGGTATCATACATTTGCTTTGAGCATAATACTTTTAATTTTTTTTTAATACCAAATAAATCTTTTTTAAGGGGGGGGGGGATGTTTGATGGCAACAAATCTTTTTCTCTTGTTGGGATATGTGGTGGTCATTTGGGTTGATCGCAGGTGGCCAGATGGCTCAGTCAGTAGAGCATCTGACTGGAGAATTAGGGGACCCGGGTTCAAATCTGTGTCTGGTCCTCTGCATTTTCTCCTCTCCTCTTTGATTTGATGCTGTTACATGCCCTGGAACTGACAGGTGAGAGGCCTGCCAGGGATGAGCCTGGGTTGGGATATTTGAGAGACCAAAGACATTTAAAGGGGGATCGAGGAATGTGGCGGTCAATCAGGGTTGGTTCAATGGCCGGTTGCCAGAAAGCTCAGTTGCCAGTAGGTAGAGCACCTGACTGGAGATTCGGGAGGCCCGGGTTCAAATCCTGGTGTGGTCCTCTCCATTTTTCTCCTCTCTTGTAACAGATGTAATTTCATGGTAAACTTGTACAGAAAATTTATTGAATCAATTGCAATACACTGACAAAGTTATTGTTCATGGGGACATAAATTTGTGGGTAAGAGTGACAGTACATAACATCCGTGAAGATTAGTCCCCCATGACAATAAGTGATTTTACAGCATTTGATTATATTAAAGATGAGATTGTAATTTAATTCTTTTTGCTGAAAAAATGTGAACCGATTATAAACAAGTGAATATGTACAGTGAAAGAACAAGACAGCTATAAAATAACTGCAAAAAACAAAAAATAAAAAAAAATTCATTTCAGTTCATGATGAAAATCAGAATCAGTTAAAGAATTGATTGTAAAGGTGAAATTTAAATTTCGCGCTACCAGATTAAATAATTATGACTCATAGAATGACAAATTCCTTATATTCATACGCCCTTGTTTTGAAAGTTCACAAACTGTTCAAAAATGTATTGATTGAACCTATTGTGATTATTTCGCTTAAAATTGATTAAAAAGTAACACTAAATTAAAAAGTAACATGACACTTTGCTTAATACCTTATCTAGTTGACTAACACGTATAGAAATCGCGCACTATATTTGTCACAAAACAGGTGCGCGTACAGGTACAGGTAACCGGAGGCACAGTGTAAAGACCTGATGAGTGTAATGACCTGATTGACCTGATACGTTAATTTCAAAAAATAAATGATAAAATACCAAATAAAAATAAACTTTTATTATTTAATTTTATATATTATGTCATTTTCTATTATAAAACCAAAAAATAAAATTTTATAAGTCATTTATTTGCATGAATGGGAGATTATTCCAATCAATTCAGTGTAATGACCTGATATTTAGTGTAATGACCTGATGAACGTTTATGTTGTTTTATTAAATATATATCCTTTTAAAAACTTTTTTTCTTAAATTTTGGTTACTATTTGTATAATGTTTTAGTAAAAACATAAAAATTGCTTATATTTTGTATTTACAAATTTTATATTCATTTCAATTTTGCTACGGTGTAATGACCTGATATGGAATGACCTGATCTATATTGACAAGATACGTTAATTGCGGATCAGAAGATAAATACCAGGATAATTATTTTTTCAATTATTTCTTAAAACAGTTCAATCCTTCTTGTATAGAATTTTTTTTAAATATATATTTTTTTTTCATTAATTCATCGGTTGAGATATTTTTTATGTGCACATGGGACTGTGTAAGATGCGAACAATAAGGAATTAGATTATCATAAATATTATTATGGAGTCACTTTATTAGTTCTTTTTCTTGTTTAGAATTTATTTGTATGACTTACTAGTTTCTCTTTACATCTTAAAATTTGTTTATTTAAGTATGTATGACTTGCGCCACCTGTGGTTTTTGTCAAATTGAATAAATAAATAAATAAATAAAATACTTCACAAAGAAAAAACAATAGAATAACATGGCGTATTGATCTGAGCTTAAAAATTTAAAATACGAGATTAAGAGTAATATACATGATATTTGCTATTTATGTTCAAACTAATTTTTTCACCGATTTGGAATTAAAAAAGTCTTATGTTTCTATAGTTAAAAGTAGCTTTTAACTGTATCTGATATTTTTAAATTCCATGTCAGAAAAAAATCTGCTACAGTTTAAAATCTCGGATATCTATAAAACGCGATTGATTTAAATTGTGTAATTTACATGAAAATCATATCTTTTATAAAGTATCGAAACAAATAGAAAGATCTTTTAAAGTTTAATTTTAGTTAGTCTGAACATATAAAAAATATGCCTTATATGACTTAAAATGAAAAGCGAGTAACACATCATTAAAATAATCTAGATAAATCTAAGAAAATTAAGGAGTAGTGCTACTGCTCTTTTTCTGTCTAAGACAATCTTTTTAAAAAGAAGTCTTAATTATTCGTCCTTGTAATTTACACGCTTTAGAATTTTTTTTTTTTACATTACTGAACTATATTTTATTTTATTTTTTTTTCAAAAAATTTCGATGTTGAAAAGTTGTTTTAAGTATGAAAAATTTGTTATATTTTTTTTTAAATAAAATGTGTCTTACATTTTCTGCATTTTACACATGTATATACATAATAACAAAGTTAAATGTGTTTGTTTATCAATTCACACGAGTCTTGGTTTACCATGTTGACTGGGATTACACAGGTGACATACAGAAGCCATATCCAGGGGATTAACTTGGATAGGGGATATACACATGTACAAACAAGGGTGGGGGGGGCAGTGTCTCTTTGACACTATACATTTTCAATGAATTATTCTCTAAGAAAAGGTCACTTAAAATAAAAATAAATTAAATAAAAATTAAAAAAAAAAAAAAAAAAAACACATGCAAGTGCAAGGGTTAAAAAAAAGACATTTAATTTGTAAGTCTTTTAATGAATTAAAAAACACAACAAAAATTAAATATTATACAATGTATAATGTGGAAGATTATAAAATATTTATTTTTAATTAATGTGTTTTTTTTTATCGTTATTAAATTCTTATTAGAAAAAACATTGGCTATTTATCTATACATTCATTCTTTAAACAGTAGAATTTGAGATGAATACGGGGTTCATATCTGAATTGTTAATTAAATTAATTTTCCTATATGCCATTATAAATAATAATCATTACACGCTTGCTCTATATATATACAGTAAATATGAAAATAAAAATTTATTTTATTTTTTGAAAAAAGATAAATGCATAAACGTATGTGTAATAACTGAAAACTCAATTTTTATCTCACAAACATGTAAATATCTGTATGAACTATATTTCTTTGAGATCATGCTATCCATACATTACAAGATTTATCAGGTTATTGGATCAATCGTGTCGATCATTCAAATTTTAATTATAGAAAAATATTACCAAAAAATATCAGTTCATTGAAAAAATTATTAATTTTAACAAACATATTTTATTGTAATAAAGATTACACAAAAATGTTTCAACAGAAGTTCTAACAACTTATAGAACTCAGGTGGTTCTCAAATAAATTAGTGCACAAATGACTTTAAGGCTAGAGGGAGAAAAATCAAAAATTAGCACGTTCAAGTTTTTGTGTTATAGACAAAAATGATTAACGAAGTATGTCAATTCATTCAAAAGTATAGGTTTTCAGAAGAGAGATATCAGGTCAAAGAAAATTAATAATAAAAATTATCATGTCACATCAAAGTCAATATTTTCAGAAATTGCCAAAAGATTTCAGTAATTCATAAACATTAGTTATATATTAGTTTTCTAAAACTATATTACATGTACAAGTCAAATTCAAAATAAATAAAACAATTATATGCAAGATAATTTACTTAGGATAAATCCATCAGGTCATTCTTAATCAGGTCATTACCCGTTGAAGAGGGAAAGATACTTCAAAAACCTTTTTAAAGAATCCAATATATAAAATTTTATACTTTATACTTAAAGAAAATAATTGATTGAAACATATATAAATTTAGTATTACATCAATACCACAACATTTGTATATTAAAGGGGAAAACGTTCCATCAGGTCAATACACTAGATATCAGGTCTTTACACTCTTTCGAATGGGTTAAACATCATGTAAACCTCATATAACACCCTGAATGACAAAATTTTGTGACCAGATTGTATATTATATTGATATTAACAATTTTGAAAAAGATCTTTTCAAAATTCTTTCTGTATATTAAGTAAATAGCATTTTATATCTCATCAGGTCAATCAGGTCATTACACTTATCAGGTCAATACACCGTGCCGTAACCGGAAGTGAATTTGGAATGGCGTAAGAACAAGAAGAATATTCGAGGGATCAAAAACATGATGGGCACTTCCATCTATTTATTATTATTATATTTTCTAAGTTTTTTAACACTCAACAACGCCCAGACACAATGTAAGTTACGTTTACTCTTTCATATTCTATAGGTTTACTATTTAATTACAGGTGTGAAGTACAAATCCGGAAATGATTAATTTTCAGTAGAGTTTGTGTTGATCATCTTTATGTATATTTATCAGATTATCTTGTAATGCTTGGTCTTTTTTCTGCTATATACGTTAATCTGTAAGTTCTCTTTTTCCTACCTGCGGATCAGCGACAGGTGAGATTGTAGGTTGTTGTGTCCTAACTTCTCTCCAAAGCCTTACTCCTGAGGTTCAAATCCCATCTGTTAATGTTGTTGACTTATTTGAACAATGAACGAGAAAAACATACACACTTCACCTGATTGAATATTGACACAATTCACCTTAATGAATTTGCCATTTATAATTTGCAGGGTGTGCTGAATTGCAATATTTTAAAACATCTTTAATAATGCAAAGTTTTTTTTTTGTTCTCTTATGCAATTGAAAAAATGAGGCCTCTCCATGAATTTAGCAAAATTTTGTTGGAAAGGATTTTATTTTCACCATATGCATCTTCATAATGTTATTTTAAATTAAATGGACATTTTCTCTTTAAGCTTTAGTTGTAGTAGATGATTATTTTTGATATGTAGCTGGTTAATCTGGGTGGCAATGCAGATGCTTAATTCACCTGCTTTTTGTGGAACATTTTTTTAATTATATGCATTTAATATTGTATTTTTTTAAAATTTACATTATTATTTAAAAAAAAATAATATTCGATTGATAGATTTGCGTTGGTGTACAATATCAAGGGGAGAACAAGAAAAATGTCAGAAGCTGCAGAAAGTGGCTGCTGATTTGGTCCGAAGACAGGTGCCAAACTACGGAGTTATCCCCCTTGTAGAATGTGTCCGGGGAACAGATATGTAAATGTCATTTAAATTACCGAATTATTCATGAGTTTAAAAAAAATATTGAAGCAGTATTTTCTTGGTTCATTAAATAAGTACCATATAGGTCGAAAGTTCCACTTTGACTATTACCAGTATTTACCAATGTTTAATTTGAATTCATTTTGTGTTGCTTTGTGTACTTTTTAAATTTTTGAGCCCACTAAATTTGGGTGGTATGCATGTACTGAGATGTATGTAATACCATTGAAGGTATGACTGTATGAAGAAAATTCAGGATGACAACGCAGACATCATGGCCTTGGACACCGGTCAGGCTTACTTTGGAGGTCGCTACTACAACATGATGCCCATCTTAGCCGAAAAATACGATATCACTGGGACAGGTAAAAATGAGGAAACTTTAATTTTAAAATGAATAAAAATAAATGATCATATATATGAAATGTCTCGTTAATTTTTATGATGGATATTTTTCGTTTAGATGCTGATGCAGGAATGTATTACTACTCAGTAGCTGTTGCCAAGCGGGGATCACAATTTAATGTGTTTCAACTTCGAGATAAAAGAGCGTGCTTCCCAGGTTTGTATCCTACGTAGATGTCAGGGGTTAATACATGTCGGTTAATTATAAGTTAATGATACTACGCTTCTTACAAAAAAAGTATATTTATCAATTCAATATTTGTCACATATCTGGAGGGGGGGATGATTTAAAAACAGTAATTTCCTGTTTTAAGAGAAAACTGTATGTGCTGTAAACCAAATTTTCTTGCAAAATATCTATGAGTTTTTGGCCCTCCTCTGCTCTCAAATATTTCTCCCTGCAAATGCAAACCATCTCTTCATGTGTAATCTAGATTGTGTTTTCTAGATGATTTCCATCATTCTTTAAAATTGATTGTCTTAGATAAACTTAAAACTGATGAATCACAAACAAAATCACAAATAAAGATGTTTCAAATAAACTTGCTTTAGAATATAGTGTAACATATCTGAATTTTGTAATTCAGGAGTTGGAACAGCTGCAGGATGGCTCTATCCTATTGGAACATTTGTTCAGAAAAATGGAAACACTAACATAATGCAGGTTACTGAATGTAATGCCATCGTCAAAACGGCTACTGACTTTTTCCAGTCCATGTGTTTGCCAGGAGCTTTATCATCATTTTACAATCCATTTGGTGAGTATAGCTAAGAGGAAAAGGGCACCTGCTCAATTCTAAGACAGGTTGAATTTTTTTGAAATGAGAGTTTGCAGAAATTTCATATTTATGACAATATGTTGTATGAACATTACGTACACAGTCAGATAAAAAAAAAATATTAAAATTATTGATGTAGCTAAAAACAGTTTGTATTCAATGAGATAGGTATCCTGGCCAATAATTAATAAACTTAAAAATTTTATAAAAGGAAATAACCCAGCCCGCATTTGTGAGTTATGTCGAGGGAATTTGGAGAAGAAGTGTACGACAGATGACCCGTATGCTGGATACGACGGAGCCTTCAACTGTATGTCATCTGACGCTGGGGACGTCGCCTTCCTACGCCACGACACGGTCCAACAGATGTCTCTTAACTCCACTAACAGACCTGAGGTCAGCATTTAAAATGAGCTTTATAGACTTTAAAGTCAACTCTTTAAAATGTTTGGTTTTTTTCTTGGTAATTTCTACTCTTTGTGCCAATATTATTGCCATTGGGAGATATTTACTTAACTAGAATAGCTATATTGCTTATCAATGTCTTCATTGATGTGCATGTTATACCTGTTGATATTTCAGAATTATGAATTGCTGTGTCCTAATGGTATGAGATTGCCTGTGTCAGAGTATCTAACCTGTAACTATGGAAAAATTGTTTCCAACACTCTGATGACATCCTCTCTGAAATCCAAAACCGAGGTGCAGGCTTATAAAGCCTTCCTGCTTCAGGCCGCTGAGTGGTTCGGCCCTACAGGAGTTTACAGTGGCGAATTTAAGTTGTTTGATTCCCAGGACTGGGCGTACTTACAGAGGAGAAATTTATTGTTCACAGACAGTACTCAGACTCTGGTAGATGTTGGAGATAGAAACACGTACTATAGCTGGGTTGGTGAGTACATCAGAAAATACAATTATACATTGCTTGAATATATTAAAGTAACCTCTGTGTTCTTATTTGATAATAAGGATTAAAGTTTTGGTGCCCTGAGCATCATACAGTATTTGGATACATACAAGCCAATCATGCATGTAGATCAAAGCTGTAGGAAACTTGCATTGTCATTAAGCAGCATGAGTAAAAGGCTTTTACTAGATCCAAGATCTACTGTCTAGTTATCCGATTCTTTGTTTTATTTATTGGCATTAATTTCCTGGACTTGTAATAATTAGAACCCTTCATTTCCTACGTCTTTTTCCGTAGACACTGGTTTTTATGACATTATGGAGAACCTGAATGCCTGCCCCCTAATAGCAGCCAGATTGTGTGTTATCTCTAAACAAGAGAAGGCTAAGTGTGAGACGATGATGATGGCATTTAATGCTAAGGACTTGCGACCCAGCCTGGACTGTATAAGGGGCACCGGGACAGACCATTGTATGAAGCTTATCGCCCGCGGTGATGCCGACATGATGGTGCTGGATCCAGGCGATGTGTACTTAGCTGGAAAGTAGGTCAAACACTCAGAAGGCTTAATATAACTCAAATTTAAAATTCTGTGGAAAATGTCAATTGCAAAATCTTCTTGAGAAAAAAAATAATAGACGAAGATTTAAAATTTAGAAGCAATGTAAAGTTATGTTTTTTCCCCTTAAACAGCTAGTTCATGCTCAGTTTCACTGACTAGTGACTTTCTTTGTCAAAAGACAATAAAAAATTATGTTTAACATCTGACCTGTAACCTGTGTTAGGTTCAGATATGGTATCCGTATCAGATATATGGGTGGGGACAGTGTGGGTGATTGCTAACTTTGATTTATTTATCTTGGTGAAGAGTTTCTACCTTCGTTTGTAATATGCAATGCACCATGTTATAAAGTAAATTTCTTCTTGATAAACATTCATTATCATTATTCTTTCTTGATTTGTACAGGAAATATGGATTAGAACCATTTATTGTGGAAGATTACGGTAACATGAATGCTTCTGTCCATGTGGTCGCTGTTGCCAGAAAGAGAGACCATTACATGACATTGTTTAATCTCAAAAGTAAGTTAATGGCTGCTTCTTCGGAATCTTAATGGTAAAAGTAGTAATTTGTAGCACTTCTTTTCTTATTTTGAATTCTTCTTAAAAATTGGCCTAAATGTGAATAATTATTTTAAAGAAAAGAGAGCTTGCCTGCCAGGAATTGGACGAGGAGATGGCTGGGTCATCCCCATGAATATATTTATAGAAACAGAACAGTTCATCCCCCAGCACTGTACACTCTTTGAAAACATGGGTAATTGTTAAAATTTGAAGATGTTATTAATGATTAAAAGTTAATAGAAGTCTTAAAATATTTATAGTTGACTATTAATGAGAAATTATGAAGAGATTGTGGGCCATTTAAAAGTGATTTTTCCCAAGACCGTTAACCCTTAAATTTTAATCTTCAATGAAAGTCTCCCATGGGTGCCATTTTGTAAAAATCCTATGAATTCAGTTTTGCATCAGAGAATACTGTAAACTGAAGGAATTTTAATGATTACAATTTATACTTCCAGGTCAGCTGTTTATTCGGTCATGCATTCCTGGGTCAATGGACAAAGACTACAATCCTAACCAGAAGCCAGTCAGTCTGTGTGAGGGGTGCGCTGCGGGGGGATTCAGGAAGTGTCAGAGGACCAGCGAGGACCAGTACTACGGAGCCAGTGGGTCATTCCGATGTCTCGTAGAAAGTGAGTTATGGAGGGTCATTGTATGGCTCATAACGAACATGAACCACTAAAATAGGGCTGCCACGATTAACCAAAATATCGCAATCACAATCTTTCACAATCTTTCGGTTCGATACGTTTTTATGGGATTTCGATTCGATTCAGGTTTGATTTTTATGCGCCCAGATCGAAAGATCCAAGGCGTATATTGTTTTTGTCCTGTCTGTCTGTCTGTCTATCTGTTTGTCTGCAAACCTTAACCTTAGCCATAATTTTTGAACCATGAATGGTTAAGACTTCATATTTGGTATGCATACTCAACTAATTAAGCTCCTTCAAATGACACCAAGATCAATGACCTGTGACCTTGACTGTGACCTATATGCTACAAATAGTTTTTTTCAGCAAACTTTAACCTGCACCATAACTTTTGAACCATACAAGATAGAGACTTCACATTTGGTATGCATACACCACTGATTAAGCTGTTTTAAATGACACCATGGTCAATGACCTTGTGACCTTCACTGTGACCTGTGCGCTAAATGTAGTTTTTTTAATATTCGCCATAAGGCCATTCCAAATTTTTTCTATGTTTAGCGTCCGCGTGCGCCTTGGTTTTTGACACCCCATATGGGAAAAAACACACAACAAGAGGAGTCCTGAAATTAATAAATTTAGTCGAAATTTTTGAATTTTGTAAATTTCTCCGAATAATTCTGTACAGTAAGTTATATTGGGTGTATTGTAAGCATTTAATCCATTGTTTTTGTTGCTTAAGAATAGATATTTCTTCTATTAAAGCAGTTTAGTTAGATAAAATCATTTGAAGGACGCCATTTTTATGACTTTTAAGCTTGTGTTTTATGTTTTGGCTTGTGTGTTTTTTGCGAATAGGTAGGTAGGTTTTTTTTGAAAGATGAGTGGACGTTAAACAGAGACAAAACTTGGAATGGCCTAACTTTTGAACGAAGAAAGATACAGACTTAATATATGGCATGTTTTCTCCGCCAATTAAGCCCTTTCACATGACACCAAGGTCAATGACCTTGTGACCTTGACTGTGTCCTATATGCTAAAAATAGCTTTTTTGAACCTTCACCATAACTTTTGAACCATAAGGCCATAATAAAAATATTCCTAGATTCTCATCCCCGCCTGCCCCGATTTTATACCCCCGCCTCGATTTTTTTATTTCTGTTTTTCATCGTCTTAATTTTGATCAAGATCGGTATTCATCTACCATTCTATTTTCGTTTTAAATCCCGCGAAAGCCAACACAATTTTGACAGCTGAAAAGATGGTAATTGCTGTAATACATGCGTATATATTTTAAACAAGGGTCATTGGTTGAAAAAGATTGGTGATGATGTGAAGTAAGAGATAATTGAACCTTTACTATGACTTTTATTCGGGTATTGTAGATAAAATTACACGATTGACCAGGTCAATAAAAAATCTGCAAAATTGAAAAAATAAAAAACATAAAATAAAAGCCGCCCGCCCGCCTCGAATTTTAAAAAAAATCGGATGAGAATCTAGCAATTTATTTATTATGGCCTAAGAGGTAGAGACTTCATATTTGGTATGCATACTTCATACACTAATCAAGTTCTTTCAAATGACACCAAGATCAATGACATTGTGACCTTGACTGTGTCATATATGCTAAAATTATAGGGGTTTTTTAATTTTGTTGCCGCCGGGCGCATAGTGTTTCACAAACACATCTTGTTTCATACTAACATTTGCTGTTGTTACGCGCATTCTGATTGGTTAATCAGAAGAAATGATGGCAAGTCATGTTAAAGTAAACAAAAACACGAAAATGGCCGCGAAGAAGTTGACTTGGGACTACTTCCAAGTTCCATTTTCGACAGAAAGACGGCACAGAAGATAAATGAATTTACTAAAAGTCAACACCCATCAGCCACGTAATTCTGAATTTAGAGGAACCGACACAGTGCTGCGACTTTCCTTATTTTCTTTTTAATATTGACATCGTTTTGAATGTTAAATTATTATTGACATTCTTGTGATGACAGTTATGTGGTTAGGTGGTTTGATATCGTATTGGTGAATCAAAAATTTAAATCACAGCAGGGATCTTACCTTTTCTATTTTGGCAATATAGTCTTTGTAAGCAAATCACCAATACTTTTATGTTTAGCATAATATGAAATCATTGGTTTTGTTTGAAAGATTTGTTCGCATGTTTCATCTTTTAAAACCAATGATCAGTATTTTTTAATAATTTGGATTTCAGACATTTGATTCTTGGGTCATACTTTGTAATTAGAACATTAGGTATTTTCTTTGTTTTCTTGGCTTTACATTCCATTTTATCTTAATAAATCTTATAAAAGTATTAATCATTATTTATTAGAATGTCTTATGATCATGATAATCAAAGATTACAGATTTTATACAAAAAATTTTAAAAAATCTATTTCTTGTAATCGAACCGAAATTATTCGAAATCGAGGTTTTTGTTTGAACCGAATCGATTTGAACATTTTCTGATTCGTGGCAGCCCTACACTAAAAAGTGACATCATTAATATTAATAAGGAGTTCACAGTTTTTATTCACCACTGAATCATGCATGGCTTAACAGATTAACTAATCCAAGAATTGACAAGTTTTATTTAATCCCTGAATCAAATCAATGTATAAAATATATGCAAGCTTTACTCATAAAAGTCCTTATGGTATTTAAATTTTCTTATCCCTCTTTGATATATGGAAATGATTCCTCTACTCACTGTTGATATTATTTCTAACAGAGGGAGGAGACATTGCGTTTGTGAGACATCTGACGGTACGAGACAACACTGACGGTAGGAGACAGGCGATCTGGGCCAGGAACAGAAGATCCGACGATTACGAATTAATGTGTAAAGATGGCCGCAGAACCAACATTGACGACTGGGAAAACTGTCATCTAGGCCAGATACCAGCTAATGCTATAGTCACAGCCAGTAAGATTTCCCAGAAAATTATTATGTCATAAAATTATTTGATAGGTCTTTAGCATCTATATTTACAAAATTAATAGTTACCCCTTCATTTTCGATTTTTCCTTGGAGAGAGTTAACTTCATATTTTTCAAGACCATTTAATGATACATAGCCTTCAGATCATCTTTGTGTAAAATTTTATCCTTTTCGCTTTTAAAGATTATATTCATTGACGATTTTGTTTGATTTTCAGAGTATAAAAGTGAACAGGACAGAACAATATTTTGGAATCTCCTGAATTATGGTCAACAGTTTTTCTCCTCAGACATGTAAGTCTATTTTTGCTGTGACATTTCAAATGGACAAATTTATTCTTTTAAAGCATACATACGAACAATACATTGTTTGATTTTAACAATTTCATTTTACAGTGAGGGAGATTTCCACTTGTTCGACTCTGGTACCTGGTACAATGATTTAATATTTACTGACGATGCCGTCCGGTTAATGAAGCTGGACAAGAGCATGCAGGACTACAGGAATTATCTGGGTCAATCGTTCATCAACAAGATAGAGAATCTCCACCAGTATACGTGTGTCCCTGTCAAACCCAGCTCTTCATCTTCATTCTCCTTCTCCTCCATATTAATGGCAGCCATTGTTATTTCTCAGCTGGTTTTATAACACAGCAGGCAACAAAGTGATAATTCTTCATCCTATGGTTAAATGTTATGTGTGTGTGTCTTTCAGAATATTTCTTGTAAATTTTTCATTCTGAGTGAACGAGAATGTGAGACAGTTTTTTTCTGTGTTAATTGGTAAGAAAAACTGTGTAATTGGTAGAATCTATATGCATGTAACACTGTACAAATACATATCACATTATAGCCTTTGTAATATAAAGCTCTGTAGACTTTGTATATCTTTTTTATGGAGGTAAAGAATACAGAATTAAGTCCTTTTCATGATGGCAAATTCTTCCTCCAAAAAACCTCATTCAGGGAAAGGTTGTGCATTTTATTCTGTAAATCACCATATTATATAATTACACAATGAATTTCACTTAGCTAGTTATAGTAGTAGCTTTATCAACCAAAGTAAAATCAAGCAATAGGGAGAAACACCCAAAATAATCCACATTTCAGTTAAGTGTAGTCTTAACCCATTGATTCTATATTGACTCTTTTATTGACAATTCCATGTGATTTGTATAATTTTTATTTGTAAATATTCCACATAATTTTATCGGGTGCCATTTCATATGGAGTCTACTACATTCCATTGTTTAGACGTTTATATATTCTACACAAGAGTATATGTATTATCACTGTATGAATGAGAGAGTGCTTTTTGTAAATATATGTTTTTTTATATAAATCATTTTTTTATACTACCGGTAGTATGCAATTATTATGTATGCTCAGAGTCAGAATTGGATAATCAATGTACTCGTTATTCAGTAGCAGAATTAGTGATTTATATGATTTATACTCATCTTTACCAAATGTCACAGCACTCCGGAACCTTTAGAGAGAACTTTTTTTTAAAATCTTGATATATTATTCATGTACAACAATAAAGAAAAAAATTCTTTTCAGTTAATTTTTAAAAATTATTTTTGAACAAGTTGGCATTAGTTAATGTAATAAAGATGTACAGGATGATCCAACTAGACACAAATAAATAAATTGAAAAAAATCAGTTGTATCTTCTCTCTGTTTTGTATTGTGATGACTAATTTGTAGGAAGTAACTATGGTAATGTACAGTGAGCTTGGATGTGGCTTGCTAACTCAATGTATCAGTGTATATCATAAATTGCTTTTTAATTCCTCTCCCAACTGATGTCAGTTAATGCAAACAAATCTGAACCAAACATGGTTACAAAAAAGGATTTTTCTAAAAGGAAGTTGATAAAATAGCTGACACCATAAGGCATTGAAAAAGCATGTGCAATAAAGTAGCAAATGGGTTTGCAAAAGAAAGTGACTTGAAGGACTGAATCCTGCATCAAAAATCAAAATGATATACTGGTTGTATCCTGTATCAAAGATCAAAAATGATATACATGTACTATACTTTTAGTATGTTGATAACTATTATAAGAGAAAAGATAATTGTACTATGACCTACTTTTGGGTTGACCTGTGTGCCCCCAAACTCTAGATTTGGTGACTGACTCTTTATGTCATGGTGTTCAAAATAGAAAGTCTACTTGACAGATTTCAAATGTTAAGCCATAAAAATCAGAAAGTTGACCAATCTGACCTACATAAAGATCAATATATTGCATAGGCCCCAAGTGCATCAAGATGTTAAGCTAAAAGCTTTTGAAAAATAAATGGGACATAAAACTCAGAAATTAGGGCACTGTGACCTAGGTACTTTTCATTGCACTCATCCTTAAGTATTATTTATCAACTAATAATTTAAAACTGAGTTATATTGCATTCAATTTCTGTCTAGCTGTTAAGCTGTTGAAATATATTGTAATGTGTTGCTACAGTATGCATTTCTAGTATACATGTATTATGTTTGTCTATATCTGATGGAGACAAGAACTAGTATCAAAAATGTAAACCTTATCATATAATAAAATGATTTTTGAGGTTTTTTTTTACTTGGTCTACTTATGACTACACAAACCTGGTCAGGTTATGAGGTATTGGTTAGCCTCGGCCTCGGTCAACCAATATTTGACCAGGACGACAGGTCCATATAGTAATGCGTACAACTCATCAAAAGGCAATTTTGATATGGTTAAATTAATTATATTCAAAATCTTTTAATATCAGGCCACTTTTAGACTTTTCTTTAAGATTTCTAATCTGTAGGAACTGTCCATAATACCCGGGAATAAAACCATTTCCCATATAAAGCAGAAAAAGCAGGTTGTGTTAAATATTTTTATTTTGGCACTTTGCACACAGTACATGTATTTAGATATTGGACGGATAAAATAGTACTGTTTCTTTATAAAAATTACATTAAATGATTAATCACATAAAAAATAGATACATGTATTAAAAAATCAAACTTTTGTTAAAAAAATACAATATTCTTTGATTTCATGATATAAATTACTTTGCGTATAATATATAGTGACTATTTGAACAAAATACAGGTGACAATCAGATTTCTCTTACATATTATAATGGTGATTTCAATGATTTATGCAATTTGCTCTACATTTGTAATGACTTGTCACTTTTTTCGTTTATCCAAAATGTCATCAATATCATGAATGGCTTTAGAAGTCTTCAACAATGCCTCCCTCACAGAATCAAAGCCACGCATCATTTCTAAACTGCTTGGAAGCAACACAGATTGGTTACTGTTGTGACTTGTTGACATGTGACTATTTTCCTGAGTTCTGATTGGATAATTTGAAGCACTAGGAGGAGAGAAATGGACATGGTGAGGCATTCTTGACTTTGTGTGTTGTACAGGATGAGTTTCTGTAGGAATATAACTAGTACTTTGATAACCTTGACCCTGATGACCCCCAGCAGTCAAATTTTCATTGGTTAATCCTCCTCTGCCTTGAGGAACTGCATGGTCTGTTATATCTGTGTGGTAGTTAAGGAATATACAGAGTTTACACATGGAATGTTATTACATGTATACATATTCTGTTTTGCATGTGGTGTGTAATTATAATGTGAAAGATGAAATCAGTTTATAAATAGGAACATGCAAAATCAATTCAGAATGAATCGGAAATATACTTGTGTCTCAAAACTAATTAGTGAAGGATACAGTTAAAACATTTGATCTTCTGGAGTTCCTTTTGTACCATGCTGTCGAAAAAAACAAAATAAGTGTATCAACAAATACCTTTGGCATTGACGTTGCTTACAGTTTTCAATATACATACACTCTTTTTTGCTATATGTTTTAGATAAAACAATCTATCATAGCTACATGAACACATAAATGTAATTCATATTTATAAAGAGAAATCCTGTATCTTGTAATACAAATGTAATACAAATGTAACACAACAAATATAATACAAATGTAATACATCATGAAGGAGGTACTCACATTTCCTCAGTCTGCTGTTGCTGCCATCTTGAGTAGAACTCTGTTCGTTGTGAAGGAAGACTGTTTACCCATGACCCCCACTCAATGGCTGCATCTGTGTACCTGTGAGACATTTTTAAGAAAGATGTAATTTTAAACATTTTTTGTTCATGTCTGATACAACTAAATTTTCCAATGACAACAACAAAGATGTCTAACATGCTCTTTTACATGTACACAAAAAAATTTAAGCTGCTCTCATGACCACAAAGACAATGCTAAAGTTAATAATGTCTTTAAAAATTATGCAATAGAATATATATTAAAGTGAATAAAGCATTTGTTACTGAAAATTGTTGAGAAAAAGGAAAATAATCAGGAACAAATTCAAAGCTGTATATTGTATAAACAAAGTAGAATTTTACATGGACACTTCAAATATTCAATTTACATGTCAAAGAAAGTTCTCAGTGCATTTTTACTTCTTGTCTCAGATTACTTCTTACTTTCTGTATAATCCTGGTTTTTTGACATCCACCACTTGATATTGTCCGTTAGGAAGCAGCAGTTTACAGAAGCCTTCACGGAACTCAGGGTTGACCCTCAGAGCTGTGGGCATGCTTCCTTCTCCATTCTGACACTGAATCACAAAATTACTCAAAAAGGTTACAATCACGTCATATATCAACACAATATTTAAAGATATAATTAAAAATGTGATTGATAACCAAGAGTTCTTTCTCCATTATTGCTAATCCTTTTTGTTTTGATTTACTATTCATAAGCTATGAGAAGCAAAAATAACGACAATCCTGGGCCACAATGCTCACCGGCGTCACATTGGCCCCTGCTCTTCTTCATTTTTAGGAAAATACTATCTCCCCTTAAAGGAGGATCTATTCTTCATTTGAGAAAAAAATAAGCCATCTTTACTTAAAATTCTGCTTATGTCATATTTCTTGATTATCTCCCCTTTAATTTTTGACTAAACAAAATTGTATCTCCTTTACCCCAACATTTTTGTCCAAAAATAACAGAAAGGTGGACAGACAGGCATCAAATATATTTGATCAGATCACTGGAGTATTTGGCTGTTAGGTGTCAGAGCTAACAAGGTATGCACTCGCCGCACCGCCGCCATTAGTTGGTATACTTTATGTGTACTTAAAAAAAGTGGATGTTATATTTTGCTGCTTTGGTGGGGATGAGGATGTGCTAATTCATTACATGGACTACCATGAAGAAATCACTAATAAGTACAATGCATGGCTAATTTACAATCATGCCAACAACTCTATATACAGTATACGTGGGAGCAGAGAGTGTGTGTTTTTATTTCATACCATCTGAGTGTGGTGAATTCCTTCACTGTGTTGTAGACAGCATTCAACTCGCTTGGAGAAGTCACACCACATGTCTAGTGAAGTACGATCATTAAATACGATCCGGACATGTCCACTGGAGAAGGCAGTAAAGCGACCGTACCCCGGGACACTACACTCCTCCAACACACTGGTGGGGAGGGGCTCAATCACCAGGGACTGCTGCTAAAATGTAAAGGGAGTGGTTGTAGCAAAGAATTACTGTTTCTACCAACGAAAACACTTTTTCATATGTGAAAATTAATCTGTTGGTCATAATCCACATTCCAATTGAAGCATTTAAACAATACAGCATTAAAGAGCAAGAGATCTACTGTTTGGCCTACCATACTCTGTAGGGCTGGGCAATAATATCGATATTTCAATATATTGCAATACAATGACAAAAAATATCATATCGCAATACGATTTTGTAATATCGATATATTGGCAATATGCTAATATTAAGGAATTTTGTCATTAAATATAAAAATGGACTCATGAAAGTTTGTTTTTAAGCCAAACAGTAAGACAGAAGTTGTTTTGTGGGAGTATTTCAGAGCATAACTTAAATGAAATCAACAAGATTTTTTTTTTCGTGTTGGTTACTTATCATGTTATGTACATTCTGCATATAAATTAAAGTAAATATAGTAAGAAAATGTCATTTTTATGACATTGAAAATATTGCAATACATATCGCAATACAGTTAAAAATATCGCAATATATCGCAATACGAAATCGCGGGCCAATACCCAGCCCTAATACTCTGATTTGATTGACCTAGATACTCTGATTACTATTCTTAAAAATATTGACCTAGATACATGTAATCTGATTACTATTCTTAAAAATATTATGTGTCAGTCATTCTTTACCTTCCAGCAACAGATATCTGCCTTTGTTAGAACTTTGTCTTCTTGGTCTGCCTGATTTAGAAACCTATCAAACAGAAAATGTTTAGTGTTTCAATAATCAAAAATCACAGTTTTAGGGAGCAAGAAAACAAAAAATTCTATGAAAAACACACCATTGATAAAAACATAATAATTCAAACAGTAGAAAAGAGTTCTTATGTTGGTGACTAACAAAATAGTAAATAGCAAAATAGAAAACGTCTTGAATTCTGAATTTGCGTCATAACAAGGAGTACTTTATTATATAAATATTGCATGTAGTTGAGTGTAACACTGAAAATTTTCACCCGAAGAAAACCATTGTCAACGGAGACACAGCCAAAGTTGACAATGGTTTTCGAGGGGTGAAAATTTTCAATGTTACACTCAACTACATGCAATATTTATTATATTATACTGAATGTTTTATACAAATACATATAACAGTGAAACGTGCGCGCATAAATTCTGCGCAGTCGCTATTTTTTGGAATACCACCTGTGTCAAGCAATGTTGACTGTTGCTACGCTGGAGGGTGTGGCTTCATTATTCAGCCAGTGGTAGTGTTTTTTAACAAATGTTTCTCGACCAATCAGATTCAACTAATTTACATGAAAGTATAATATTGTAATATATAACCTGCTGGCTCTTTTGATCAGCTTCTCCACTGTGTATGCGGCACCTGGTGTGTGAGGGGGTAACGATTTAATGGAGTAACTTCTCTCCTCAACCTCACCCTGAATAAATAAAGCTTTTTTATTACAAATAAAAATCTTCCCAATTTAAATCACTCTAAACAAATAAGGAATATGAAGTCAACATGCTAAAAAAGCAAAAGTAAATCACTAAGATTCTTTAAATATGAGATCAATATCTACCCTGTCTCCATATGGAATACTGTGCTTGTAGTAGTGACCTTTGACCCCTTGTGACACAATTACACTTCCATCTCCAGGAAAAATCTCCAGGACTTTTGTAGAAGACAGTCTCAGTATTCTGCATGTAACAGATATTGTTTCAGTGTTAGGAACAAGTACAAGGATATATACAGTATGTTAGAGAATTTTACTAGATGAGAAATAATGAAGAATGAAGCAACATATCGATAAAGTTTTCTATTGTATTGGTTTTCTTGAAATTAATTTAAAATGAAATACACTGTGCTGTGGAGGGGGATAGGTGTCAGTCTTTGTTGACTGCAGATTCAGGGTACCGGTACATAATTTTGTGGCCAAAAAATTATTACAAAGACATCACACACATTTTAGTATATATGAAGTATTAATTGAGATTGTATTTGTTGATAAAATTTTTACATTTCATAGTTAATAAGATATATTTAGGGAGGGAGTGTCACTGTTAGGCTCCTCATAGTCTTACCTAAATATGACACCTTCCACCATTAGCACTTTCAGTCGTCCCTGTTTAAATGTGGTCAGGTTGTCCAGGCTGTTTTTATCGTCATCGTATATGTAGTTTGTCTGTAGCCTGTGGAGGTGCTGGGAGGGACAGGTCAGGGGGGTGGGGGCGGGGAACGGACACATACAGTACTTATCCTTACAATGCTGTGGGTTAACAGGTGCTTTCTGCTTCTTTACACCTTCTTCTACTGTAAGGAGATAATATCTATACTACTACAAGCATAAATCATAATTCTCTTTAATGATTACCCTGCAATCCAACTCATGATCCTATGATCCTGTATATACATGTATTGCAAGCATTTAAATACTAGAGTTTATTTTAAAAAATACCTATGTTGTAACTAAGAAATTTTTAAAATAATACATACACATTTTCTTCTCATATTCCTCTCTCTTTTCTATGATTGACCTTGCCATATTGAGTGGATGTCTCCATGCCACAGGGCACTCTTCACAGGAGAAATGTCTGGTCACCCAGGAATACAAACACCTAGTTGATGTCTCATCCAGCGAATCTTGCTCAGACTGGGAACTAAATGAACTGTGGGTAGATTCCTTTGATGGACTTAGAGGTGGGGTTTTGGAGGAAAACTCTTGTAATTTTCCTGATCTCTGAGCAGAATTTTTGTGACAACTTTTTGATTCTGAGTGAGATTCCTTTACAGATGATGCAGATCTTTCTTCTTTGCCAGAATTACTTTCTGGATTAATGCTTGGCTGTGAATTCTGGTGCCTTAGAGGTTTACTATTTTCAGAGTTTTTCTGAGATTCGATAACTTCCAGGAATGATCCGTCTGTGCCCTTGTCTTGTTGGAGCCTGTAATGTCTAAATGCTGATTTTTTGCCCCCTATTTCTATTTCATCCCCCTTCTCCTGGTCAGTGACATGATTTGTGGGTGTGGAGTAACGATGGAATTTATTTTTCTCCTCCTGCCCCTCTGGAGATGTGTGGGGACTTCTCATACTGCTCGCCATACTGATGGGCGAGATATTGAGCTCATTGTGAGTCTGTTTACTCAGGGACTGGTCAGGAGGAGGACTCTCATGTCCACTGTCCTTGACCTGCTCAATATGGCCGACAGAGCTCGATGACGAGCTGAGATTTAATCCTTCCTCCTGTCTTAATGACACTTTATCTAAGTTTTCTCTTAATGTACAGTCTAAGTCATCACTGCTATGTTTAGCTGAGTTGTTAGTAGAGGACGACTTATGACGTCTGTTCTTGTGTTGGTGTCTCCTTGGTTTTCTCGGTTCCGTGCTGATCTGAGACAGGTAACACACAGTGAAGTCCTGTTTGTGAGGGGAGAGAACCAGACTAGCGTATTCATCTGCTGACAATAATCGGACACTTCCGTCTGGTAGATAGTCTATCTCACACTCGTCTACAGTCTTTGGCCAAGCTGCTTCCTTGATGTTGGCATACAGAGGCTATCAAAAAGTAAATTTAAGTTATTATATGGCATTTGTAAGATTTTTGATAATGTAGACAAGGAGGTGAATTAATCAGTGTCTGATACAGTAATACACAGAACAAGACTTGTTGAATTTAAACATTAATTTGATCAATTTTGTTTACCTGTTTACCCATATCATTGTCTCTCTGTATTTTTTATTAGATTTGTCCGTGAGATTTGGCTTTTGCCAGTAAGACTTCACTTTCCATCGATATTACATATATTGTTAGAGAACAACTGCTTTTCTGATTACAAAAACATGGTTTAACAACATAATCTTTGTCATTTTATAATACCACAGCATTTTGGTAACCTGACATCACTTATGTGTTTGTAATCCTTCTCTTTTTTAGCGATTAAAAAGTGTGAAACTAAGACAGATCATAACGAAAACTAACTGCTAAATTCCAAATGAATGTCTTTCCAATTTCAATGTTTTCATAAAAGCAAAACATGAGACGCATTTTTGACTAAAAATCCATACAAAATACGGCAAAGTCGAAAGAGTAAACAGGTCTGTTTCTGTAATAAATCAAAATACATAACATTGCAATCATCCTATTGTCTACAGCAAGATATCTTTGTACTACATGTACCTGGTACTATGAATTGTCATCTGAAAGAAATTGTTGATGCCATTCTTTGTTAATAGTATTTTGGTATGTTTACAATGGACATGAAACATGTACTGAAAATTCCTTTTATATATATATATATATATATATATCAGCTTACAACTATTTGATCAGGCATGGTTAGATCTTTACAGATGTAAGGCTTCTCTGCAAACCTGTTCCTGAAGTCCAGTGCTTGGATTAGTTTGTACTTGTAGTCACTTGTCACAAACTCACTTCTCTGACTTATTGATTTCATTCCTACAAAATGAATAAAATCAATAATAAAAGATTAACAATGTAATGTTGGACTTTTTAGAAATGTTTATTGTTGAATATATTCACTCTTTATTAAAGTTTATATGAAGTTTATAAAGCCCATCCATTTAAGTCAAATCTCATTATCTCGATAGGATTTGAGGGTAAAGTGAAAAGGAGTTGGGACTTCCAAATGATAAAACATAGAAACTGAATACCATGAGCAGGGTGAAGGACTTCTTTAGGACTTTCATGGTGGACAAATGTTGAACCACATGGAGCCACCTGAAGACATGATTGGTCAGAGTAACGAACTTCTACTGCGTCGTTAGAATACAGGACCATTAACGATGGAGTGGCCATGTCACTCTCTCCACACGACTCTAAAGAGATTAAGAATATCAAAGTCTGATGAAAGCAGAGATCCCTCCAAATAAAACAAGCATAATGATTTTACCTCTACATACAATTCAATCATTCATATGCATTGCCTCGGTAGATATAGATGTTATGATATTCAACACATTTAATTTTCAAAAATTCCCAGAAATATGAGATACATATGTACAACCTAGTTTTCACCACAGAGGCCTGTAGAATGTATAATTGTTTGCCCCAAAATGCATTCACTCTTGATATTGTTGGCCTTAATTCTTGTTCGCCCAGAGTCTTTTCGTTCTAAAACTCGTTTGCCCTAAGTTTGTTTGCCCACAATACGTTAGTACTTTAACTCTGTTATTATTTTGTAATTGTCTTTCATTTTATTTTATTTCATGAATAAAATTATAATTTATTATCAGAATATAGAAAAAAAATCAAAAGAAACAATTGTAAAGTAATTGATATGATACATATTAATTTATAACTAGTGTTAAACTTACATAATGCTACATTAAACTAAAAATCTTTTTTAAGTTTAGACAGAGGGTTTCTTTTTTTTTTCTAAAAATAAACCCTCTGTCAGAAGCTGGTTATCTACCAGTAAAAATGGCCTATGAAAATAATTTACCTCTCTCCTAATAAATTTCCTCAATTATTTTCAAAACAAACATGTTAGTATACAAACCTTTAAAAAAACGCAGTGACTTCCCTAATTTATAGTTAAGTACCAGTATCAAATTGCAGCTGTTGAAATAAATAAGACTTTAACAAACATTTATAAAATTGCAAAAAAAAAGTCAATATTGATGAAAATGAAATATGCTGCTTAGATCTTTTAATTAACAGTTTTATAACAGTTAATTAACAGTATATCAGTGATAATTCTATGAATTAGCCAAAATATTTGAAATAGTCTGGGTATAAGGGGTGCCAATATATGGGCTTAAGAAAGCGTTAAATGCTGATATGTTAGGGGGTTCAGGTACAAATTTTCGGTGAAATATATTTAATTAAATATATTCTAGCACAAACATAGACACATTAAGAAATATAAAAAACTTTACTTGGTGAAAAAATTCCAAGTAGAACAGAAGTTATGAAATTATCAATGTTGTGAGTACTGCTATTTTATATAAGAAAATTTCAATATTTACGAGTACTAAATGATGGCACATGAAAGGAAGAAAAATCCGTTAAATTTAGGTATTTTTTAAAGGATAGGGTCTAATTTTATCTGGAAGTAGGGCAAACTATATATTTTCGGAAAGGTCTATGCAAGCCCTAATTTTCTGTGTCCATATCAGCTAAAAAATATCCAAGATGGCTGCAAAATATCCAATATGGCCGCCAATAGTAAGAATGGCCGATACAGTTTTATTGAAAACATACTTTCAAAATCATGTGATTTAAGAATAAATAATGAAATTTTCTGAATTATTTACCATTCATTACTTTTAAAAGATTTATAAAAATAGGGATCATAATAAAATATGGTCACTAAAAGTTAGAGTTCTCTCTTGACATCGCAAAGAAGAAAGATGTCAATATTATGAAAATAGCAAAAAAAAGGGGGAAAAAAGAATTTACTACAATTAATTTACAACTTTATTTTAAATTTAAATAGATCTTTCAAATACATGATATCAAATTTTCGGTTTCAATCAATAATTGTATATATTCAGTCTGAATTATCCATGCTTCCTGGACAAGTTGAGTGTTAAGTTTCTCTCAGACTTCTGCTACCACCGGCCGCGGGTGGGTACCATAATCATGGAATGATTCTAGTTTTACTGTATATACTCACTGAAAAAAAAATAAACTCACTGAAAAAAAAATTAACCACAGAGTATCATGTTCACAAACAGAATTATAAATATCTTTATAATTGTAAGTAAACAATAAATAAACATTTTCTTTTATCACATTAGAACTTCGGGTTATTCATTTATTATGCAGACAGTATTTCAGAATTCAAACGAAATCCAGGCTGCAGAATCAAATTTGTACATTTATATCCAGGATTGTTAGCATATATAGGTCCCTGTTTATATGTAGTAGGAAATGACAATAGTTTTCAGAGATTTTTTTTCCAAGTCTAAAATTATTTAATCTCATATTTTCTATTTTTTCTTGTGGTTTTACAATACAAAAGTGTGCATGAATTGAAAGGTACTTAGAAACTGTTCAAAAGTTGCATCGGGTTGACAACTTTTGAATGAAATCCGGGTGAATTATTTTCCGAAATGATTACAGAACCGCAATATTCAGATAGGAAATTTTCTCAGCTTTCTAATAGTGTATGTTGCAGAAAAATATTTCGATTACTTAACGTAGTAAAATTGACCTCTTTCCTTTGAAACGAAAATACATAAACTTCTGCACATTGCATCAAGATGCAACAATAACAATGTTAATCTTCAAAATGTAAGCTTTCCTGTGATACGTCAATGTCGTTAATTCCTTAAAAATCGCCTCCCGGAAAGCCAATCAAAATGACGCTATCAACGTCACGGAGACAAAATTACAGTGCCATGCATAAAAGGGGAAACCCTGTGTCCAATTTTAGCACAACTTCGACCCGGTTAATTTTTAATACAAACTTTTCAGAATGGCATAACACACACATCATACAAAAGTTCAAACAATGTAGAAAAATTCATTATATTTAATTTCTAGATAACTATGAATAATAATGCAAAAAATATGTTTAAAAACACCAATAAATTGCATGTAAGTGGCACAATTACATAGCTAAGTCGGGTTACCTGAACCCCCAAGATATGTTTAAATGATCAAGGGACAAATATTGTGCAAGAGTTTGTTTAACAACTGTTTCTTCCTGTCAGATCTGGCTAAATAAATCGCAACAACATTGTAAGAAGTCTGAATCATCCATACAGTTACTTTTGTGTTTACTCTACTTGGAGATAAAACCAAACATCTGGATGATGCAGACTCAATCAAAACATGAACTATTAATGCAGATTAAAGTGAATTTAGAAAGTACAGAAAAATCAGAATAAACTCATTCATATCATATTTTGGGATTCAACTTAGCAGAATTCCACTAAATATCACACAGAGGCATCACTGAGTATATAAAAAGGAATTTCAGATTACTTATTCAACAATAATAATGACATAAAGTTGAACTAATCAGTATCTCCAACTTCGATAACTGGAATACTATGGATATGTCGAACTGATGTGGATCTAAGTTGAAACCACATATTGTTTAAGTATTTTACCCTCGCTATTTTGAATCTTCGGATATCTCGAAGTTTTTTCTCAGCCCCATCATGTTAGAGACAATGAATTTTGACTGTAAAATATTTTGTATATTGCAATTGATATATTTGGCAAATGGGGTACAGGGGCCATGCGAACAAGAACTATGGCAATAGACTCAGTGTGTGGAGGGACTCTTGCAAACAGGTAAATAAGGCCAACAGACCCAAAACCTTTATCAACACAGAGGTCTGCTCCAGGCATGTAATGCTAAATATTAAAAAAATTCATGTACGATTTCTTTTTTTTTTTTTATAAAAAATTATTACAAGCTGGGAGCAAGCTCCTGTGGTTTCCGATAACTCAGTTTCAATTTGTAGGAGAAATCAAATTTTAAAAATGTCTTTAAGCATCTAGATGTTCAAACTCAGAACTTTATGTAAAAGTCATTAGCCAGTCTAGACACAGATATTACAGACTCGACCCAACCTCAATGATATCTCCCATTTGACACCACTATATTGAACTAAAATTGGGTAAAAGATGCCATCTTTTAAATACATACAGCATCAAAGATATCAAACCTTTTTTCAACTTGAAAAATTAAACAAGCAACACATATTATTCTTTCATTTTTTTGTTTACATCACCCCTTATAACAATGACAAAAATGTCAAATCTTTTTAATATTTCCTTCTTAGTTCCAAAAGAATAAATATGATAAATTTTTTTTTTCGTTTTATTTTGTATTAAAATACATGAATTATTATTACAAATCAATGAATTCATTTAAAAATATTTTTTATTGATATAAGCGATTAAAATTCAACTTCCGGTTAAATGTTGGATTCTGTAATGTTGAAATAGTCATGTGTTTACAGGAAAATAATTAATACAAAGGACATGGGAAATCAGAGTTCAGGACACGGAAAAGGTAACAAATGCATTCTACATTCGATTAAAAGTTTACGGTTAGAGATATTTTTCATTGATTTCATAACATACAGGCGTGTCTTGCAGAACCTTTTTTTAATCCAGTTTATGACACATATCTATTTTAAAGATACACATTGTGTCGATATCTTTCAAAAAAGTGTATTGTAAATATTTAATAAATTGAGACTCTAGAGTATGTTAGACTTGCTTTGAGTACGCTACTAATTTTACTTTATTCAATATAGTTATAAAAATATATTTTTAAAAGAAAAATATATACATATAGAAGAAAAAACGTTTGGATCACTGTGCAAAATCTGAATTTTCTCTTTTCCCTGGTGTTGTTAATAGAGCCCGAGTGATGAGCAGAACTATGCTGCTCGCTGCACTCACTATACATTGGAATCAATTATGAAAATAACAAAATTATTATAACATATTCCATGTATTCAAGAGGGTGATGGGTGGGTCACTTTGAATACGTGTTTGTGCCGAGTGGTATCGCGCTGAGTGGTTTCGCCCCATTTTACTACTGGGTATTTATATGTTCTTCTATTAAGCGATTCATGTTACACACATGCAGCAGTAATTAGATAATTAAATAACATTTAATATCTGATATAGAGTTAGATTCTTCACAAATTCAAAATTAATCCATAAGGAAATAAATGCAGTATATTGATTCACTTATTTAAATAGACAAATGAATAGGGCCTATATAAATAGATAAATACATTTAATATTTCCACAGTTTATTTTAGATTTTTTTATAATGTAGATGTCAAATACAGATGGGGGTATTGATAAAAATATTTTTATAGAATTTTTTAGTTTTTGTTTTATTTTGTGAAATACAGGTTTATTATTCACAGAATTTCAGAACTTTCAGTGTCAAATGAAGGGCCTTTGTAAGACAAGTACATAAAAAATTCATAATACCTAATAATAATTTTATTAGAAAAAATAAAGAAAACAATTAAAATCTTTTTAATCTATGCATAAAACATTTTAAAAATGTGTGAAGAGACAATGAATGTATTTCAATGAATTACATGTGTCAAATTGAATGAAGAAAACGAAATGAAAAATCCAATTTAAAAAATATTTGGTATAAAAAGTCCACTTTCAAGAGTTATCTTTCCAAATTACCCAAGACTCAAAACAAAGCTTTAAATTGCCAGAGTATACATTTAAATCAAAAAAGCAAATATATAAATTAACACCAACACGGTAAATAGCGCAATTAAATAAAATTTTAATTTCAACAAGGTTGTAGATTTTAGATACATACATGTCAGTGATTGATAGTTCACTGCATGCATGGCTATGAAATTGACATTACTTGTTTGGCGAAGATTTGACTGTTGCTTTCATTAAAAGCAACTCTTGGTTTATTAATGAATCCGTTACTTTGTTTTTCACTGTTTACAACACCGCATGTTTCATCTATTTTTAAAGCGTTTTAAAGGTGGTCATATTATGCTCTATATACTCGTTGAGCATAGGAAATGTTTATTTTTTTGTGTAGTACGTCATCAAAAAGTGGTGTAATGAGCCTCCTTAATATTTCCCTATATTTTTTTAGTTTAACAAAAAAATATTTACAGTTTATTGATGGATACATCATTGAATACAGAGCTCTACATGTAGCCTTTGTGAAAAAAAAAATTGGTATACCGAATAAAACTTTCGGAAAAAAAACCCACAAAGGTGGCCTTTCATCTTTAATTTTTATTAAGCTGCTCATCATTAGTGTACTGATCAAACAACCACCCGACATTAATTATTGGTAAACCCTGTTGAGGCGAATCCACTCAGTGCGAACAAGTAATAGGAGCGAAACCACTCAGAGCGAACAAGGAATTGTCGCGAAACCACCCGCATTCTTCAAGAGTATGTTATGTATAAACTCTGACATTGCATGACTTGGTATGTAATATATTGCAATACCAAATCGAAGTCTGAAAAGTGCAATTTTAATTAAAATCATTTAATCTACTACATGTATTTCTCTTTAAGTTACATTTCTCTTTGGATTATGGGAGCACATAGATAGAACGTTCCATCGTTAAAATGATATTGCCCTACAGACTGGTTTAACGATAAAATTTGTTCCGTGTATTCATAATGTAGCAAAAGAAACACGGGCGATAACTCGTACTCAGTGCCTTTACTGTGAACAATCCAGAGAGTTTCAATTGTAAACATGGCAGGTAAATTTGAAGCGAGAGAAAAATGTCAAGACAATTGATTGGATTTTCGTCTTTATTTTGCATTATTTTTTGGGATAAAAGGCATATATACAATCTCAAAAGGTTTGTATTGATTAATTTGGTAGTTATTTCCAATATTGATTGGATCAGTGTGCAAATTAAGTCTGAATTTTCTCTTTGCCCAGGCATTGTTTTGAGACTAAGAGCTTGCGATTGTTTCATGTGTAGATAGTTTTCAGTGGACTAAATAATCAAGAGTTATTTCCCCTTGGCCGCCATCTCGTTGGTCAACCTGGTAATTTTCCCTCTTTGTGTTACCAAATACAAGAGGGTGTATCAAAAATATTTGGGGGGAAATCTTTATGGAATAAACATTATGAAATAAAGGAGGCTCTAACAAATGTATATTTGTCAGAAAAACAATGCTTCCCACCCCACAATTGCCAGTATAAAAAGTTAAAGTTGGTTGAATAATGAAGGAATATGAGCATGTTGACCCCCAATATGGCGGCCAACGGGAAATAACTCTTGTTAATTTGGGTCTACTCCCTCACTGACAGCAAGGTGTTTGTTTATGTTCATTAATCATATATTTTACTCATCATAATTATATTTTATTTATTTCATTGTACCCCAATGTGATGTGGAAATGTATTTTTTAAAAGATCCATTACAAGCATGTCATGTAAGTCTTTGGGATCTGATAAAAGGTAAATAAAGTATCAAGGTTTGTAGTGAAATATATGGTTTATAAACAAATATACATGTACTATGCTTTTAGCAGAGGAACATGTTTAACATGAGAAATTACATGTACTCCAAAATATGTGACAAAAAAGTGTTGCTGGAAATCAAAAGGTTTACACAATGCTTGCGCGATCTGTCTTTCTGAATTTTCTAAACCAGAGAGCTAGAGTTCTGTGGCTATTGCTCAGAACAACGGAGATATTCTCCTATTTTGTGTCTTTGTAAAACTATAAAACATTACAGCATTGTTGTAAGCAGCATGCAGGATTTTGTGTCCATTCTATTTGTGGAAATAGAATAAACACAGAAACCCATGCCTTGTGAGGATGGCTTTTCAATGAGGTAATTGGCAGTTAGAAACAGAGAAAAATATATAATTGTGAAATTATTTGTATGCCAAATCTGCTTTTTCCCCATAGTATTTTAGCAATCTTTGTTATATATTGCTCTAGTCAACAGAATTTTCCCCCTTTAATATGTACATTTCAACTTTTTAAAAGCAAACTACCAGGTAAAAGGCATACCCCAAGGACGTCTACATAGTACAGTTTTAAATTCATGATCATGGACAGAAAAAAAAAATTACAATTTTTAAAATTTAATAGTACATAATATTGACTTGTAGTTATAGGATTCATGGCCTGATGTTTTTGTTGGGCTGTTGTTTGCAATAACTTGTGCACTAATTCAAACTACCATCCAATTATAATTTCTGATGATTCTAATTCATGATTGTACCGGATTGATTCTTGATCTATATTTGCATTATTTATTAATTAAGAATAGGATTTGGCATGAGGCTACATTGTGTCTACAAGTGTCCTTGTTATATAGGCAAAAGGTCAATATATGTTAACATGTTCACATTCAACTCATAAAATGAAATATCAGATAAATTGAAGAATGGTCATTGCAGACTAAAAAGGCAATATTACTAGAGAACATCTCAAGACATTTCGTTTGTAGTTCCTTGATTTTCTAATTTCATAGTCACTGGTCAGGCTCAAACACAGGCAGATTCAGTGAAGACAAACTTTGAAAGTTCAAACCACAACATTCTAGGAAAAAAAACATCATCTTTGAAGCATTACTTAGAATAGGACAAATGCTATTTAAACGTAATAAATTATGATTAAGGGTTGCACTAACTTTTCTCTTCAAAGGTTATATTGTTTTACAAGTTTATGAAGTTTATATTCAATCATACAGTTACCATGGTAACAGTAAACATGGTTATAATGAATTCATGCTTGTACAATTTTCATTTGATCCCATACTTCTCAAATATATTATGATTTTATCAGATGAAATGAAATATATATAGTGAATCAAAATTTTAGTTTCTGGATCTTTGCTGTTTATTTCTAAAGCATTTAACTCAATTTCAAAGAAACTGTTGAGTGTTCAAGAAAATGGAAACACTGCTAGATGCAAAAAAGTAACAAAACTTACTTTGAAATCTTTTACTCTTGGTGATGCAGTGAGTTCAGAGTATATGATGACTGAAAAAGATATAATTAGTTTATCTTTGTACATGCAAAATAAGTTATCTCAACTCCAACAAAGAGTTATTTCCCTTTACAGAGTAGTTTTGTTTTAAGAGTTAAGATTAAGGTGAAGAGTTCTTGATTTTTTTTTTAAATTTCTGATTAAGAGTAACTAATTCTTGTTTTGAACAAGAATTAATGTTTTGATTGCGTAAATCTTTAGATTAATGTGTCATACATTTTAATGTAAGTTGAAGTGAGTGATATAGGTGCATTCGTTTTTTTTTTCCATCAGAAATTCTTTTCATCAGAAATGCTCAGCATTAAATTGTTATTGTAATTTATTGAAATTATATTTTCTAAGTAAACCTGGCAGACACAACAGAGTTTTCCCTGCCTCTTGTAAGATCATGCTGTGCCGAAGTCGAACACAGAAATTGGCAGATACTCAAATCACTTGTCAGTATGAGCTCTGTTATTTCATTTTCATAAAGATTACAGTGCAGTTGCAAAAAGCCAACCAAGATTTCCTCCCCGAAAAAAATCTGCTCCCTGTTTCTCGGGGAGATGTTCAGATTTATTTAATGTTATTGAGTTTGCAAAAAAACAACTTAAAAATGAAAAGTTAAGTGGAGAAATTTCATTTACTCCCAGTCTGAAGATCAATAAGCTTTGCATGTCTTTGTTGTAGATAATGAGTTATTTTTTTTAATGCTTTTGATTTTTAAAAGTTGAGGGTGAGATTTTCCACACAAGCTAATTACGTAAATGAATAGCTCCGCAGAATTTAAGTTCTCATTACCGAAGTTAAATACGTATTCTGTTTATTATGAACCAAAAGAAATCTAGCTATATTTCATAATGTTTTGAAGAATAATCCATACATAATTCATATCAAAGAAAAAGTGTATCATTTAAAAAAATGTTTATATATTATAAAGTAAATTGTAGTTGATTAACTGGTATATATTACATAACAAAAAAAAAATACTACTGTGAATATTGCCAGGTGCCAAGTGCTTATCTTGTTCATCTTCCTTCCTGCCATCTCTCTGTTTGTCCTCTGTCTGTCCTTTTGTCACATTTTGTGTTCAGTTTAGTTTCATAAAGAAATTTTCATTGACAAGATATTTTCATCAAACTTCATATGTTAATATTGAGTACATGTATTCAACTGCATGATCATTTTTGACTTTGACCATCCCTTTGACCTTGAACCCAGTTTCCTTAAATTTGTGATCAGTTTCAAAGAAACTATTGAAGATAATTTTATAAAATCTTATTTGTTGATACATACTGATGAGAACTATTCAACTACATTTTTGACCTTGGCCTTTCTTTTTACCTTGCCCTTACTTTCTTTAAATCATCAATTATCTCAATTTTAAAGAAACTTAAAATATAGTTATCAAACTGCATTTTCTTTTGCATATAAGTGAGAGCTCAACTTTGACCTTGTGATGTTCTTAAATTTGTCATTGTGGTAGGTTGCTTTATGTTGTCAGGTTCTGTGATATCTGTTTGTGGTATGTTTCCTTACTTTATGAGGTTCTTTGATTTGTCTTTGTCATGAGTTGCCTTACTAAATGTGAGCTAGGTTTTTTAACTAATTTGGCTCTGGGGCCATAAAACTTAGATGAGCTCACTTTGAATCACTGCAGAGATCAAAAGTAAGCTTGTCTAAGTGTTAGGGCCCTGGAGCCTGATCTGAAAGCTCAACTGAGCTTTTCTGATCACCTATTGTCTGTTGTCCGTCTGTCCGACTGCAAACACATTTTCAATTTTTTTCTGAAGAACCACTAGGCCAATTTTAATCAAACTTGGTTCTAGGCATACTTGGGTGGAGGGGAGTTTAAATTATTGAAAGGGAGGGTCAAGACCTCTTAAAAGGGGAGATAATCAAGAAATGACAAAATAAGGGTGAGGTCATTAAAAAATCTTCTTCTCAAGAACCACTGCTTGAAAAACTGAAACTTATGTGGAAGTATGTTGGGGTAGTGTAGATTCTATATTGTTCAAATCATGACCCTGGAGATAAGGGTGGGCTGCAATATGGAATCCAAATTTAACATTAAACATAGGAAAATTCTTTTAAAAATATCTTTTTCTCAAGAAACTGGACTGGGCCAGGAAAGCTAAAACTTATGAGGAAGCATCCTATAGTAGTGTGAATTTTAATTTGTTCCAATCATGACCCCCAGGGATAGTGCAGGGCCAGAATAGGGAATCCAAGTTTTACATTGAAAGATATAGGAAAAATCTTTATAAATTTTCTTTCCAAGAACCACTGGACCAGGAAAGCTTAAACTGATGTGGAAGTATCTTGGGATAGTGTAGATTCTAAATTGTTCAAATCATGACCCCCTGGGGAAGGGTGGACCACAGTGAGAAGGGAATCCAAGTTTTAAATTGAAATATGTAGGAGCATTTTTTAAAGAAATTTTCTTCTGAAGAACCACTGGGCCAGAAAAGCTGAAACTTACGTGGAAGCATCTTGAGTAGTTTATAAAATTCTAAATTGTCCAAATCATGACCCCTGGTGGTAAGGATGGGGCAACAATAGGTAGTACAAGAGGAGGATCTGGTAAAGAGCAGCTTAGGTTAAAGTTACTCAGGTGAGTGATGTGGCACATGGGACTCTTGTTTGATTTGTATGACCTTGGTTTTTTGATGGCTGTGAGTTTATCAGGCCTGACTTCAGAAGCCTGTGGGAGCCAGCAGAGGTGTGGATTGACTCACTGCCTGCTGATTCAGTCATTATTAACCTACTCATCAATTGTTTGTTTACACTGTGATCTTGTAGGTATCAATTTATCTGGACATCTGTAGAGCTCTGTAACAACTATGTACTACCATGACTGTTATATGTAATTGTTACAGCCGGTTTTATCACCAGACAGACCTGCCATTACTGACACTGTGGGGTGTGGATAATGGCTATCATTAATAATTTGTCAATATTTATTAATTCTCAAGACACTGATTTTTCTCTAAGGCATATTAATATGATAGAAATGAGATGAAAAAAAATTAATTAAATTGATTAATTGATTACTAAATAAACAGCTGTATTACAGTAAGTTTAAGATGTACTGGGTATGTTTGTAAGTGTAACACTAGAAAATAAATATTCACTTTGGGGACATTTGATATGAGGGTTTTTAATTTAATTTAATATATATATTAATTAATAGGAAAATGTTGTACAGATTCATGTATAACTTTTATAACCACAGTTCTTTGAGAAAACTCATTTATGTCATTTAATTGAGGTTGATGTTACAGAGAAAAACATGGAATTCAGAGTCACATGTTTTAGTTAAAATATTAAAAGTATTACTGATATAACTTCAAGTTCAGGGTTGATGAAATGTGAAAATTTAAGTATGAATTTAGTGTATAATCTTATACTCCTCTATATTTTGAAAAATTGGAATATTAAAACTTATAACCTTATCATCAAATCTTTAGAAGTTAATAACAGTGTACCAATAAGAGGATTGCTGGTTTGAGTATTGGACATTAGACCCCGACCTCCACCTAATCCCTTTTTATCACCACACGATATTGGCACACTCCCTTCTTTCATCATCAAACAGACTCCAATCATTATTTTGACATTTCCCTCATTTTTTACCCCTCTCTGCTATCTGGCTGTACAGCTGAGTTTTGAATTACTGTTGCCTCTCTGATGCCGCTGCTGATCGTGGGCATCTCAGAAGGGCCCCACTACAAGATAAGAGCACAAGCACACTGCAGAGCAGGCTGATGTAGAAATGGATTTCAAAACATCGTCTGCCACAAGCCCTAAAAGATGTTGTGAGTAGCTTGTTAAGCCGCCAAAAATAAACAGAGATGAGATGGGAGTTTTGACCATGGAGACTATATCTTTTGATTCTTCCACCACGGTTAATACCAATGTGAACACCACCAATGTGAATTCCACTGCCAGGAGGTTTTTTGCGGCTAAGAGATCGGCTTCGCATCACTTGGACTTTCATGGAACGGATCTGCACATGTTGCAACAGGCAGGATGGATGGGCCGCATGCACCGAGGGCTGTACAGGGGGACACAGTTCAGTAGGTGTCAGCCATCTTTGATTAAGCTCAGAATAGCCATTTGTTTCAGCTTTGTATTCAAACTTGGTTTTGCCAAAAATTATTGCGTATTTTCATCGCTGCAAATGTCAGATTGAGAAAAAGAAAACTGGCTCATTTTGTGTATGAAATGATAAGCATTTTGCATTCTTTTCATTCTTGGTTGGCAAATTCTTATTCATTTGTATACCTGCACGTTAATATATATTGATATTTATATAGTAGGCAGGCTGTTCTTCACATTCCAGCCTGGTCTTTGTTTATCAGAGTTTTGTTAAGAGTTCAAACTAATGCTACCACTGAACATGCAATCTGTTCATCATTTAATGAAGACCCTTTGATCTTTTGCACATGTTCTTTGAAGTTGAGAATGGTTGATTAGAGTACATGCTCTCAGTGAAGCTTCTAAATTTAGTTCCCTGTTTTCTGAGTTTAATCTCATTGAATACTGATGATTGAACAACGTGATTGTCTATGTGCTGTAATGATCTCGTGATTCTACATCCTAGCTTAGCTCTTTCTTAACACATGCACACTGAAATTCAATGGAAACAACATGTTTTATAATGCCCAAATATGTTGAGAATTTTATTTGTTTCTAACTACCGGATAATTTTCGCAACAGATCTGTCCATAGAATGAACATTTAATTGATCCATTCTAGAAAAAATCTGATGCTGCATAAACTGTAAAGCACTGATTACATTTTACTTTATCTGGAGGTGAATTTATTTCCTCAGAATGTCTTCTTTGTCAGATCAAGTTAGTGCAAGTATGGTTGTTAGGGTAATGCAAAAATTTGATGTAAACCCATGTAGTTCTCAAAAATAGGGGACTAAATGCAAGTTTTTGAAATTTTCAAGGAAGAAAGTTGCATGCTTCATACAATGTACATCTTTATACAAAAAAAAATCAGACACAGAAAACTTGATGGTCTCTAAGTTTCAAATGTATAAAACTGAAAAGAAACTCAAAGCAAGTTCTTTACATAAAATTGTAAGAAGAAACCTGATTGTATTTTATCTGTGTAGAGAATGATGTCTAACACACAGACAGTAGTATTCATTAGAACATGTCTGATGTGTCAACTAAGTTTGTGTTTGTATGAGTTATGAAAGACATTTAGTTAGGCCTCATCTGCAGGTTCAGAAGGTGAAATTTTGATGGATGATTGCTAATGGGGGATTTCAGGTAAATTGTTCTTATTTCTTATAATTTCTAACATGTGATACATGTTACCAATACATGCAATAGCTGGGCAGCATTTCCTAGCTTTTGTGTCTGATGTTGTGTGTTTGGTGGTGGGGGGTGTGTCAAGATTCTGAGAGAGCTAGGGAGAATGCAAAACTAATTTCACCCCTTCACCCTTCCTAATAATTTTATTCTTTTGTTAACACTCCCTTTCATTGTCTCCTTCTGTAATGATGTTACCAACGCTTTCTACCTGTCTCTCAGGATCATTTATTGAACACTTTTGTCCCTGACTTCTTAGTTTGGACTTCTGGAATGATGCTTCATTCTCTTCAGCTGTGAAAATTGGCCACCTAGTGTCATGAATATAACTCATTTATAATACTAAAATAGACAAAGTAAAATGCAGTATAAAAATTTTGATGTCTTCAAAATTGTTCAGTGATTTTTGTTGAAAACTCATGTACTTGCATAAATACATATATATAATTATGTACTTGATGTACCGGTACTTGCATTAATACATGTATATGAAATGGCAATTCATGTCTAACAGAGCTTGTATAGGGATTACCATTTACTAATGTACAGTAAAATACATGTATAATGAAAACTATCAAAGAAAATGCAAACAAAATATTCCAGTCAAGTATGTGGTAATATATACTCTTAGCTGACTATCTAAGCTAGGTCACTGAACTTGATGTAAGCTTTAAAACAAGACTGTAAAATTGCAGAGGCAGAATTTAATAGAGGTCTCCTCTTTGTAGAATTTCTTTTTATCTAAGCAGGCAACATAAGGTTTTAAGCAATAAACTTATACATAACACAGTGTTCCTAGCCCCGACTGCTTGTTCTTTATCAAGATTCTGTGGTTTGGTACCATTTTCCCAGCTCTTCCCATCACATTTACACACTTAAATGATCTGGTGGTATTTTTCTGACAATTTTTTGAAGCACCAATAATGACTTTTTTTTCCTTTTCTTGCCAGGTACATTTAGTCTTTCTTTCATTGCATCGTCATTTTTTAAGCCACTTGGCATGATGGTAGTTTGTTGATATTTTTATACATGTAGTGCAGCATTTTTTTGACAAGTTGTACAAATTGATCAGCTTATGCAGTAGACAAACAAGATCCACATTGAAATCTGTTGTTTTTGGCAGATAATGAACCCCATGTGTTTTTCAGGGATTTATTAATTGTACTGGTTTCAATGTAATGATGAAGATGCTGGCTTACTGAGTATGGCACTTTGTCCCTGCAGTAAAAGAGAACAGAATATGGTAATGTCCCATTGTTATTTTTTACAGAGAGAGAAATGCAGACTTTTTGGATCTCCTTCTGTTGTGTATAATGTCATAGAGAATTCTTGTAAGATTCCTTCAGAATGCAACCAATTTTCTCTCTGTGCAGAAGATGAATAGAATGTTGGCTCGATTAAGCAAGCAGACACATTTGCATCAATATACACTTGTACTACATTATTACACTAGAGAAGAGAACACTTTTGAGTTGGTTAATTACTTGTACTATACAGAATAAATTCATAAGGATTTATATTTTCTGGTTGTCCAGACATGACCTTTGTACATGTATTGTTTGCATTCCCATTTTTCCAGATGGGTTGCATTTGTTGATAAAAACGTAGACTCTGTCATTTAGTGTTGGTACAAATCTCCGCGTTATCTTTTTTTCGTGTTATTACACAGTGTGCAGCCTGAATATTCTGTTAGGGTATATCAGATTGTCTGTTATTGCACATCTGTTGGTAAGATCTGAGGAGTTCTGAGAGTTACTACCAGGAGTGCAGACAATCTTAACATAATGCTTTCCTTTTGGTTTCCCCTCCCCACCCCTATGGCTTGTTGATAAGTCTAACGGTAGCACCTGCTTCTCGGTCTAATTGTTTTGACTGATTTGCAACAATATCTGTGCTAATTAGGTTTAGCTGCAAACGAAAAGTTCAAATTTTATCTATCAAGGCTTTAGTGGGAGATTTCAAAAAAGCTAGCTTAATGTTTCTTAGATTTTTTGGCAAAGTTAAAATATTCATTGAATTCCAAATGGTTCAAAACTTGCAGAGAGAGATTATCATCACTGGCATACAGCTACATTGTCCTGCTTAATGACAATGTATGATTACCACAGAGTGTAGTATTGCACTTCTCTCAATATTTTTAATTTTGTGGTCATGCAAGGAAAGGAGGTGACTACCAGGGTGGTATACAGATAGAGGTGTTGGGTCAGATTCCCCCTGAGTGGTTGACTACTGGGGTGGTATACAGATAGAGGTGTTGGGTCAGATTCCCCCCTGAGTGGTTAACCACTAGGGTGGTATACAGATAGAGGTGTTGGGTCAGATCCCCCCCTGAGTGGTTGACCACTGGGGTGGTATACAGATAGAGGTGTTGGGTCAGATTCCCCCCTGAGTGGTTGACCACTGGGGTGGTATACAGATAGAGGTGTTGGGTCAGATTCCCCCCTGAGTGGTTAACCACTGGGGTGGTATACAGATAGAGGTGTCGGGTCAGATTCCCCCCTGAGTGGGTGACCACCAGGGTGGTATATAAATAGAGGTGTCGAGTCAGATTCCCCCCTGAGTGGTTGACCACCAGGGTGGTATACAGATAAAGGTGTGGGGTCAGATTCATCCCTGACTTGGTGACCACTGGGGTGGTAACAGATAGAGGTGTTGGGTCAGATTCCCCCCTGACCAGTTTTATGCTATCTACATCCACCTTTATAGCAGTGACCAGGGTATCTTATCTCCATCCTCAGGAAACTGGCAGCTGATAGCATTAAAGGAGGAAATGTCAGTGGAGTTTTATAAGAGATGATATTATATAAACATGGGGTATTTATGTTCACATTATGCATATGTATACATTTATATAGAATTATGATTTGGAGTGTATTTATGTAATCTTATTTTGAGGTAAGTTTAACCTAATACCACAAGCAAAATCAGTATAGTTGGAATTAACAGAAACAAGTTGAATTGGGCTGAATGTTACATTTAGCGTGTAGTTAGATAGATTCCTGGTCTGTTTAAAACTAGAATTAGATTAAGAAATTTATATTTGCCTCTAGATAGTAGTGACCAGCTTGCCTACATTCCTTATAATTCCATCATCAGGAAACTGGCAGAAAAGATAAACTGGCATTAAAGGCAGGAAATGTCAATCTTTTAGTTTTACACCCACACATGAGATAAAAAATTATATATATATATATATATATTTCGGTATTTATGCACCCATCAAATTTAAGAAATGTGTTCATATAAAAACAGTATATGAAATTATGATTTTGTAAAATTTGTATATATGTACTCTTATTTTAAATATAGGTCTAAGATGAACCACACAAAAAACATTAAGATTGGAATTACACAAAATTACATTTGAATTAGATGATCCACAAATTTTCAACACAAGGACAATGTCATGTCTTTTTTTTAGTACATGTATTACATCTGTATTTTCACAAAATTGTTGGTATCCCAAACATCTTTATCTCTGATATACAGTATAGAAATACAGTAAAACAACTTATAACAAATATGCTTACAATGAATTGTTGCTTATAACAAAGTGATTTTCAAGGAAACCATAATTCCTCCACAAAAGTAAAATACTGTGTAGAAAAGATAAACTGGCATTCTCATAAGATCAGCAGTTTGTGAAAATCTTATCAATCTTTTATTGGTTTGCATTCTACACCCACACACAGAGGAAAAACTTAAAAATAGGGGTCTTGCATATACATATATTTCACCCATCGAATATAAGAAACATGTTCATATAAAAACAGCACTGGCATTTTATACAAGATATTTGAATTTATCACTCTGCGAATATCATTTTAAATATGAGTGTGTCAGATATAAGAAAAATAGATGAACCACACAAAATGAGACATTGAATGGGAGGAGTATGAAACATGTGCTCTGCCTAACATGAAAAATTCAAAATCATATCAAGATTGTCACTTTTTCATGATGATTCGCACATTTTCAACCTAAGGACAATGTCATGTCTTTTTTTACAATACATTTAAAAAAAATAATAGAAAAACATTGTATTTTCACAAAATTGTTGGTATCCCAAACATTATATCTCTGAGGTACTGTAATAACTCAACACTTGATAATAACGTATTAATTCGTTTGTTCTACTTTTAGGACACAGTACTGGGGACCTGGGCTCTATAAATGTAAGCTGGCCAGTCAAGTTCCATGAGGTCCATGGAGACAATGTGATCCTGCTAAATGACAATACACTAGCCAAGCGAGGAGACAGTTTCTGTAAGGCCATTTGTTTCAGTAGCCGTCCAATCGCCATCAATGAAAAAGTCTACATCCGCTTCGCAGAAACCTCCAGTAGCTGGAGCGGTGTTTTGCGATTTGGATTTACCAATATTGACCCCGCCACTGTGCGGGGATCTGACCTTCCTCGATATGCGTGTCCCGACATGACCAACAAACAGGGCTGCTGGGCCAAAGCTCTGGGGGAGAGATACGCAGCTCATAATAACATTCTTCATTTCTACATCACTCGTACGGGGGACGTGATGTACGGCATTAATGGGGAGGATATTGGACTATTTTTCTCCGGTGTTTCTACTCTCTCCCCACTGTGGACTCTCCTGGATATTTATGGCAACACCATTGGCATTGAATTTGTTACCCATGGTAAGAATCTTAGAATAGGTTGGGTGTCGTAGGTTTAGGTTTTAATCTACTGAATACTTTATAGAGATATAAAATAACACATTGGATATAATTTTGAAAAGTGTACACAGTTTATAGTGTATCTTTAATTCAAAAATTGCTTTCTATGGTACAATGCATTGTATACTGTATGTCAAACTAGAGTTATCCATGGATATACAAAATACATGGTTACTGTCTTGAAATATAAGCGATATTTGGGCGAGGGTAAGAAAAATTTGATGCCCAAATATCTTATATTTCAAGACAGTTATCGTGTATTTTGTTTATCCTGCAACAAAATTTTAACATTTGAAAGTCCAAAACAAGCTATTTCCGACAGATTTAGGCACATCTCTGCAGTTGAAACTATGACGCCATGGCGTAAACACTGCAATTAGTGCAATATACATGACGTCACAATACTTTTAGAACATCGGAATAAATGCACGAGGCTTTATTAGGGCAGTGACCAGATAAAACTTTGGTTTATTAGGTTACCTTTATTAGGTCAATGCAAGGGGTAGTTGCAGGATAAAAAGTGTATATGAAGTTACCAACATTCTATTTGTGCATTTATCTTCAAGAGAATTACTAGCTTAATTTGTCTGAATAATCAGCTAGTATTTCTAATGAAAAAGAATTAAAATCACCTTAACAACCTAAGTATACACAAATAATTTAATTTTAGTTGTAACACGTCATTTGATTGGATAAAAGATTTTATCCATTTTGTATAACATAACTTGCCTACGTCACAACGACGTTATTTTTAAAATATGCTATATTTGAAGCCTTTTTCCGGTGGAAAAATTGTCTTATTGTCTACACTGAAATTAAACTATAAGGAATGAAGCTTATTTCAACTTATGTTATACGATATAACATAACTTGGGGCAGTTTACGCTTTTTTATAAACCGCTTTGCGGTTTATAAAAAGTTTGTTATATTGTATAACAAAAGTATACACAAATAAAGTAATATATTGAGACTGGTCATTCAGGTCACCTGAGTAGGAATTGCAGTATATACTGTAGTACAGTGTACACCTTGAATAATTCACGATGGCAGGTGCTTGATATGTATGCATTGTCAGGAAAAAGAGTGCTGACTGAACTAAAAACACTTGTAATATATGAATGTCTAGCATTATGACAAGTAATTCAGTTAAGGTTATCAGGTACAGGAATTGTTTTATTGAGTGTAGGGGGAGGGGGGGGGTGTCCCTACATAAGACTGAAAATCAATTGGGTAGAATGAGGGATGGAGAAAATAGGGCCCAGATCCTCATTTTCCATCTCCCAGCATTCCCCATATCCCAGATTTTCAGTCATAAAATTTATATGGTACATGTATCAAGAAATAACCTTGGGTTCTTATATTGGGAAATAAAAATTTGGAATCTCAGAAAAATCTGCCCATGAAATTTGCAGAGTTATTACATGTATGTCCTTAACCAACTAAACCAACTAAAAATGACCATTGGACCCCCTTTTATAAGTCAATGACTATCCCTCCCTTCACACACACACAACCACACACATACACAACAAAATAGCTTTGGGAAAAAGTTAACATTTAAAAAAAAAAATTACTTGTCAAAAAATTCTGAGTTGGATTTTTTTGACGGGTGGACCCCCCTTGGAAAAAAATCCTGTATCTGCACCTGGAAACAACACTAATTTCCGTTATGCATACTTTTTTTTTTTTTGGTAAAACTGATCGTTTACAACAATACAAATTCAGCAAGAATTCTCTTGGAGGTATGAGCAAGATGAGTAGTGTGTATATGATAAAACACAGGTTATTCCTAGCTTCATATACTAGACATACTCTTAACAAATTAATCACAAATTAACCACCAGATTTAACATGGTTTTGCTTTCATTTCACAAAGAAAAAATTCATACATTTTGTTTTAAAATTTGATCATTTTCTATATCTTCATATGGAGCTCTCCTTTTTAATATCACATGGCTGCCACACCCCAGTTAACTTTCCTATATACAATACATTTTATACAATGAACAGTTTTATCATTTAATATTACATGTACAGATACACTTGTGAACATTTATCAAAATACATGTTATACGTCTAAAATTGAAAGTTGGACACACGCACAAGGCGCAAGGGCATGAAATAATTTATGTAATAGAGTTATGAACTAGGTACACCCTAGCATTATCTTCTCTGTTACACATATGATATAAACATTACCACTGTGTTTATAAGGTGCTCCACATTTCATAAGATTTCAGACTTTTCTGGAGATAAGCTCTAGAAACATCACAAGGCAGTTTGCCAATGATCTCTGGTACAGATGTAGTTATAGGCCCTGTGTTATAGGGGAATCATTTCTGTTAGATTCAGGATTGAATGTTTTGAAATGAACATGTTCATACCTACATATTTTCATCAAATTATCAACCATTTCATGTGATCTAGTAGGTTATATTATATGATAAAATGTAAATGTTAAATTATCTTGAAAATCTTAGAAAAAAAATCACTGGTACACTGCACAAGTATACAAGGGGTTATTTTTAAGTTTTAAAAAACAACGATGTAACTATTCTTCATATTTTCCATATATTCTACTGGTTGTCTTTCAACTGAAAGAGCTTATTGTCCTGAATAAAAAAAACTTCCTTAGTTTTTATAAACAAGTCATTGAATTTCAGATTATTATTTTTTGTTTACAAGATAAGATTGCTTAATTTTGGAAAAAAATTGTGTCAGTTCTAAAAATATTGTATGTCACTAGACTGTATCAATTGAACAGTTAAAAGTCCAGGTAGATTTCCTGACATAAACAAACATATGGCCATTAAATATCCGTTCAACAGTGTCTCTTTATTAATCTTTTCATAACCATATCGTGAGCTTTCGTAAGTTCACAACACCCTTAAGGGGAAATTGGGCCAAGAAAAAAATGAAGTGTTGCGAAACTTAGAGAGAGGAGACAGTTTTCTGTTGTGCGTAAGGACACTTTTAGTGGAGAAGTTCCGGTCCCACTCAAAACTGAGTTTTTATATCCTGAATCGGGAAATATGGTCTGCATGCCAACTCAATCACTGAAGTCCCGTCTGACAAAATAACAGACCAAGACTTTTTATGGAGGTTTATTGGGTTGTGTTCAGATATGGGTAAAAATCAAAGTAGTAAGTATATGTTTTGTTTGTTTCTAGGGTTTTATTTAATTGGGGCACTAAAAATTTTAAAGTGAAAGTAAAACATAAGCTTATGATATCTGTTTTAAGTCAAACAGGAAGAAATTGTTTCTGAGATGGCCTAGAATTTGTGTAATGGGCTTATCGCTGTGAAAAATTGGGCTTGTTTGTTTGTGTCTCTTATTCTCTTTAAAATTTTTAGTTTGTAAAATTCATTAATAGACAAAAAATTAATGGATACATTGATCTTATTGACAAAACCATCTGTAAGTGGTGTCAGCTGTAGCTTCTATTAGTATTATGTTAACTCGACTGTATTTTCATTTCAGTAGTTATTTTTATAATTATTGATTTGTTCAGAACATTTTTAAACTTGTGCAGATCAATTCCGTTCTGGTTTTTGCACATTTATCATTTATTTACCCCCCCCCCCCCATGGGTATTAATATAAATGATAAACCAAAAAGTTTTATTTCTTATTCTTTTAGAATTTAGTATTAACCTTGAAAGTTGAAGGCCCTCATGTTTTACTGATGGGGTTTGTCACTTGTGTACCACCATGTCTATCTATCTTTCAATGCTAGCTATGTTTGTTCTTCTATCCTCTTAAATTATATGACCATAGTAGAATTTTATTTTCTTAAGAGAATACAAACAAGATAACAATTTAATATGTGGTGGATCTGTGGGGAGTGGGGTTAGGATTAGAAGGAATAGAGATTAAATCCATCATATGTTACATCATCTATAATTATGGAAAATATTACCTCCTTTGTTGAAGACAGAGACTGACCAAACTTTACTTTGCTCAGTACTCAGTACAATATAAATATAATTACTATAATCTCACACCACCTATCTTTTTGTGTCCCCTGGCACATTAATCCCCATGTAGTATTAATTTAGTTATATTATGCAAATTGTGATATTTAAAAATTATTTTTATTACAGAGAGATTGAACAACAGTCCATTTGGATCTCTGGGGGCATTACACAATGCGCTCCCTCCCCCCATACCTCAAAGGGAGGTGGTACCCTCGGGGCCAAGGACTCACTTCTCTACGTCTAGTCTGTCAAGTCTTAACAGTGAGTCCATAGTAGCTCCAGCAGCACCCTCTATTCCAGTACGCTATTACACAAACATTAACTTTAGACCCATGAGTTGGCATGAACTGACAGGCAAAAATATACGAGTGGTGGACGCCAATCGAACTATCGCTGTGAGATCCGATGATGAATATTGTAACGCTTATGTGTTTTCATCTCGACCGCTAAAATGTGGTGAAAAAATTGTGATACAGGTGTTGGGAATCGAGAGGACGTTTATTGGCGGGCTAGCGGTGGGATTTACGGCATGTGATCCAAGGGAGGTAAATCCGAATGATCTGCCCGATGATTCTGACATGTTGTTGGACCGGAAGGAGTACTGGGTTGTTAATAAAGACGTCTGTCGGACTCCAGAAGTCGGGGACGAATTGTGCTTTCATTTAACTTTAAATGGTAGGTATAAAATAACATTTTAAGTCCAGAAGTGCAATGATATCTTTTATTTTTATATTCATTCTTGATAATATTGATTAGAATCATGTATTCTGCGTAAGTACACAACCATTTCTGCAGGATTCTGTGACAAATAATGGGGTCAGTATGTATGACATGATGGTGTGCTGAAAGGTTGGTTTCTCCTGCTTCCTTATTCTTTAGGAACAGAATTTAGGGGGTGACAAAGCAAAAGTGCAAGGGTGACAACTCCCTCTCATTGTAAAGGGGTTAAATGAGTCTTTCATCTTTTAACTTTTTAATATGAGCAAGTGGTTGTGCGTACTTTAGCAATTTTTATAGTGCAAGCAGCTGCTAACTGATAACTACTTGTCTTAATTGGCTCTCAATAATGTTAAATTAATTATTTTGAATTTAAAACATCTTAATATCAATCTACCATAATTCATAACAATTCATAAAATTTCAAGATGCCTATTGTATTCCATGAATAACAAACATGTCACAAATAACTCTCCATCATAAAAACCGGGGAGAATTTCTACACCTTTTTCAATTATGTTCACTAAAACAAATTTAAAATGTTACAACTTTAAAGGAGCAATTAGACAGTTCATTATTTACCCATTTAACTTGAATTAGAATAACCCTGTGGTGTCTATTCATTTGAGAAGCGTAAAATTGCTCTGTTTTAAGAGAGATGTTCTGGGAGTTCAGATTTGGCAAACAGCAAGATGTTGAACTAAAAACATGGAGAGAAAAAAAAGAGGAGTTATATGAGATCATCATTTTCATTGTTTTACATTAAAGATAGAACGTCATGTAGACATGTAAAATAAGACTAAATTTGTAACAATAAGGGGTTTAATGTACATATGATTCAAAATTTAAAAAAAAAAATATTCAAAAGTTAAATGTTGGAAAAATGAAACACAGTTATTGTTTTTGAATCACTTTGTAAGAAGGATGACAAGAAATTTTAATTGATGAACCATTGCATCACCACAAACCATAAGGTGCCAAAAAAGTGGAGCTAAAGGCACTTACATGCAGCTTACTTTGAGAAAGTTACTAGCCACATGCTTATTACTTAACTGTGCAGACAAAATGATTTCATTTATATTTCTTTCAGTTGAGATAAATCATTTTTTATCTTTGCTAATATACATTTAGTACTTTTAATAAATTATTTTTACCAAGAATAACAAGGGAGGTTATTAATTATATTTAAGTTTTCTGTAATACTGTAGACATACTTTTTCCCATGTAGGCTATGTGGTCACAAATATCCTGAGAAAATTTGTCACAGTGTACTAATATAAATATGCCATACAGTGACAGTCCAGAAAACGGCCAAATTTTTGCCCCAACGTCCCCAAGAGAAAAGAGAAATTGTGATTCCGTGGACATGCAAATTTAGAAAAATAGTATGTTTACAGTATACGCTTACAGTGCGCTTTTTTGAAAAGCTTAAAAAGAATTATATTTAGAAAAGACAGTGATGAGGAAGTAGATTTTAAGTAATAACTTTATTATTTAATTACTTTCTGTGGAGTAAGTATACTTTAATTTATTTTGTAAATTAGCAATTTATCAACTATCTAATGTAATTTTTGCAATTTATAAGGAGGGTGAGGGTGCATAGAAAAATTGTAAAATATTCTAACCCTGTACATTTGTTTTTGTTGCTCAAGAGGAAATGCAAAAATTTCATTCAGTGGAAATAATTAGATGTGTACAGTATTTATTTTATAATTAATCAAAACTCCCTTTACAATGTACAAGGGTGAACAAAAATATTGAAAAAGTCTGAGTGAACAATATTAGAATAAAAATATTGTGTATGTATGGCAATGGCATCGACAGATCAGAGCAAAAGTTATTTCTTCAGATTTTGGAATTTTGACAACTTTTCATTACACAGGATAGCAAGGCACTCCTCATAGTATTTAAGTTCCAGGTCACTTAAATCAGAGAACGTTTTTTTGTTTCAGCAAGAGCTTCTCTCTACCAAAAGGAATGAAACTTTACCAGTCTTGCTTCAGATAATGTGTGACCTATATTTTATGGATGATTGACCAGGTTAATACTTTCAGATGCAGGTCATTTCCCATCTAGCACCACAAACTCTCTCTGGTAGAAAATACAGAGTTTCTGCATTGCTTGTGAAGTATTTTTCAGTTATTTCAGTCATCTGTATAAGTTTGAGAAAAATCCCTCTTTATTCTTTCATGCATTAATGATCCATGGTGATAGTACATTCAATATTTTGAATTTTTAAAATCAAGAAGCAAATTGGTTTCCATTCATTTAGTTGATATGTTGTACCATTGATCTTCTAAGTACTAGTATATAAGGTGTAACCTTATATAAATGAACACAGACTACTTGAATGTTCTTGCCTAATGAATCAAGGCCATCCCATAAAGTTGATTCCTTTATAGTGTCTACGGCAAAGCAGGAAGACATGCTTTTCTTGAGCGTCAATAATTTGAATACTATGGATATTACATGTACCGGTATATTGAAGTTGGAAGTTCAAACTATTTTTACGCCCCCTTTTTAAAGAAGGGAGGGGCATAATGCTTTGCTGCTGTGTGTCAGTTGGTCAGTGTGTTGGTCTGTAGTCCGTCAGTCCACCAAAAGTTTCCCCTCATTTTCTTCTCATAGCATTCTGAAATTTGTTTTACAGATATATCATAATAATATCTAATTCAAGTTTTATTTTGGGTTTGATTGACTAAATTTTGACTGAGCTATCCCCTTGGACTTAAAATTTTTTTATTATTTGCAGTCTTTGCATGCATGTCTGGGAGGGAGGGGGGTTCACAAACATCTCTTGTTCTTTATTATGCCCCCCTTCGAAGAAGGGAGGGCATATTGCTTTGCTGCTGTCTGTCTGTCCGTCGGTTCACTTAGTTTTCATTCATTTTCTTCCCAACTGTTGCACATGCTGAAATGAAATTTGGTATACAGATTATATCACATGAATCTGTTTTGGGTACAATCGCACCATTTTTGACAGAGTTATGCCCCTTAGACTTAGAAAAATTCAAATTTTTTCCAGTTTCCTTTCATTTTCTTTGCAACTGTTGTACATACTGGAATGAAATTTAGTATATAGATTTAACCTATAAATATCTAGATCTAGTTCTGTTTTGGGTAAGATCGCACCATTTTTGATAGAGTTATGCCCCTTAGACTTGCAGTTTCCGATCATTTTCTTGGCAACCGTTGCACATACTGAAATGAAATTTGGTATACAGGTATATCACATGAATATCTAGGTCAAGTTGTGTTTTGGTTATGACTGCCCCAGATATGGCCTTTTGGACTTGGAAAAATTCCAGTTTGGGGGGAGGGGGGCATAAGTGTTTTACAAACATCTCTTGTTTATTTTATCCTCAGTATCTTAAATTCTCATATATCTCAGTCCCACTTAGTTTGAATTGACTGTATATACCCTTGCTTTGGAGTATCCA